ATTGCTTGGGCTTTTTTTTTTTTTTTTTTTTTTTGGGGGGGGGGGGGGGGGGGGGCGCTTGGGTATCGCATGGATCTTCACAAGGTACATGAAGATACAGTACAACAGTGGAAGGGGTTATTCTGTGAAGATACGCAGGTTCATGAGCGGGAGGAACTCCCAATGCTATAACTGTCTTTGGCTTCTTCAGCTGATAAGTCCGCGCGGCTGGACCAGCCACCGTCAAACATCGTTCATGTTTGACTAAAGTCAAAAAAGCTGTTGGGCCATCATAGCAAGTACCGCCATGCTTCATGGACCCTTTTTTTTTTTTTTTTTTTTTTTTTTTTTTTTTTTCTCGAACAGTACTAAAGTGGTTCCTGGGAACTCGATGTTTGCTCATCACGAACCAAATAGCTGACGGGCCAAGTTGACTACATTTGTCTGGTGCCATCCATTTCTTGGGATGAAAGACCAATGCTATCCTGCCAAAAAGTGTCTAGAATCCTCAAATTGATAATAACTAAGCTGATCTGCCTTTTACCTATAGTGTCTCCGACTTTACAAGACATATTCACAATCCAAGAGCTTAGTTACCAGATACACCTGCTTGTCAATCTAATCCCAATACTAGTTGATCAAAACTACCAAGAGTCATCCGTCGAAAGCAGATATTCTCTATATTTTATCCCCATTGATCAATCCTGTATTCCACACGGTCAGTCATTACGGTGAGGAAGTAGGTAAAGATGGAAGTGAAACCCAAACTGAACCGATCGGCAAGGACCGAAACTGAATTGGTTGGTCCAGAGCACAGACACGCCGCCAGATGTTCGTTATCTCCGAGTAGTAGGTAGTAAGCACGACTGCCGGGTGAAACGCCCGTCTTGGCAAACTTGAATTGATTTACAGACAACTACACAACTACAACTAACCACGTCCTTGACTCGGTCTCCTTCCGTGCTTCACCGTCACTCTTCTTTCCTTTTAATTCTTTTTATACCCAAGTTCCCCAGCTACGAATACATATATCATATATCACTCCACTCCCTTCACTCCATCCACCCACCTTCTGAAGTACCCATCCTCCAACTCTTCGGTTTTCCCCCATTATCAACCAAACCCTTGACAACGAACCAAAACAATTTCAACACCAACACCACCCCAAAAATGGGCAGCCTCACCCACCACCTCCTCCCAACCCCAGACCAACCCCCCTCACCCCCAGACCATCCAGACCAACATGTACCTCCCTCCTACTGGCACCTCAACGCCCCCCCCTCCCATCCATCGCGCACCTCCCCCATCTGCCCTCCCTTTCTCCTCCTTAAGGGCAACAACAACAACAACAACCCCGGTCTCTCACCCAAAGACTTCACCACAATCATCACCCCCAACCATTTATTTGAACGCGACACCTGGCCTCAAGTCCGTCGTCGCGTGCAGCAAAACAAGCTGGCCGAGTTCCAAAGAACACCAGCGGACATGTGGCGCTACCTGGAATTTTGCTGGAAGATTGGTCAAAAATATCCACAAGGCGGGGGAATCAAAGAGTTTATTTTGAAGGAGCGGTTGAAGTGGTTGCCTGGGGAGGTGGTGCCGAGGGGAATGAGGTTTAGAGACTGTGAGGAGGAAAATGGGGACGTCAAGATTCTATGGAACGATTGGCCTTATGGGGTTGATGAAAAGATTGTTCACTTGGTGGTGTGGACTAAATTCGAGCTGGAGGATGATCCGCAGACGGGGGACTTGACGGATGAAGCGAGGGCGGAGATTGATGAGTTTGTGAAGAGGAAGTTTCAAGTTGGGGGGAGGATGTCGGGGGAACATGTGCGTATTTATCTTTCCTTCTTTTCCTTGACGAGGGGTTAAATGGAAATGCTAACAATGAATCAAAACGCAACAGATCATCTGGTTCAAGAACTGGGCACATATCAAGTCGGTCAAAGCCGTCGAACACTTCCACGTCATGCTATTTGATCCTGACCCCGAGTTTGTGAGGGAGATCACAAAGGGCGATGTCCCTCTTGGTATCATACATACAGACGAACTAACAACGAACGAAAACCGCCCGGGCACCTTTTCAACAACCGAAGAAACCAGCTAAAAATCCGAGGACTTTGAAATCACACACACTCGACTGCTGTCTTGGGAAAGTTGCCAAGACCTAGCTCGTGGCTGGCCTTCCTGGCGCCGGAAACCCGTAACCAGCACGCACCTCGACAATAGGGCAGTCGGCAAGAGGCACAGCTGTGGGCTTTTCCATCCGGATGTGTACCTGCCACTTTGTGTGGTCTTTCCTATGATCCGGCTCAAGGATCTTTTCAGCCAAATGGGCACCAAGTGCTTCGAGAGTTTCATAGGAGGATTCTTCAAGAGCCTATTTGATTTCGTTAGCGCTATCCCAAAAAAAGAACAAACGAACGTCTTGCTTATACAAGGGCGAGGAATACCGACCTTGACAACCACACCCTCCAGCTCCGAGTAATAATCATCCATACGGAAGTACCTCTCCACGTTGACACTCGTCACAACAAACTGCTTGGCCCGTCTCTCATGGGGGTTCACCCCCACCAACGTCGGCACCTTGAGGTTATGAATCTTCAAGGATGCACTAATCAGGTTTTCCCTCATCTTCTCGCCCGGCCCGTTCTTGAAGAACTGACTGCACGTCATGCTCACTCCATCGCCCAACAACGACGCCTTGGGCAGCGTCACCGTAAGCGACAAGAACCTGATGCTCGAAATATCCAGGAACGGCTTCTCCTCCTCCTTCACCGAGCCAAAGTGGGCCCACCCCGTCAAACCAACCCACAAATCATGAATGACGTACGCCAGCGAAAAGTTGTTGTTGTTGTTTTCTTGCACACTGTGGTCACCGTTACCGTTACCACTCTGCTTCTGCTCCTGCTCCTGCTCCTGCTCTCTCGGCACCGTGAACCGCTTCATCCGCTGAAGGATCGCCTTGCTCAGGTTGCCGTAGTGCACTGTGTCGGCGCCGAGCTGATCGTTGGCGGCGGCGGTCCCAAAGGGCTGCTTGAAGTGGACTTCGGCGGAGATGAGACATGGTTGTGGGGCGACGGTGCATTTGCGGCCCCAGGCGTCGGAGGCGGCGTACAGATTGGTGGAAAGGTTGCGGACCGAGACGGCGGCGCAGGGTTCGCCGGCGAGAGAGCGGACTTGGAAGTCGGAGACGAAGGTGTCGGCCATTTTTGTTTTCTCTGTGGCCAGGGTATTGAACTGGATATCACGTTAGCGGTGGTTTTATCGTTTGAGTGAAATAAGAAGAAAAAAAAGAACTTACATGGGGGATTTTGAATTGTGATGATGATTTAGTGAGAGAGATGTGAAGTCTGCACTGGAAATGTCGTGATGTGATTCCCGTTGAAAAGTGATGGCTCCACTATGAGTGTTTGTGTTCCCGTTTGCGCTAGCGATTGGATTTCGACGCTTTCATTATGGATTTAATTGTCGAAGGAGAGTTTCAAAGCCACAAAATTTGACTCGAAAGAGGGTATCGTCAATTTAAATACTTCATCACCTGAATCCTTTCTGGATCTGGCGAAAGGCAGGCATGGAATGGAAAGAGCTCCTGAGAAATGACCTGACAAAACGGTTATCATCGCATCGCATGCCGCTCGCAGAGGGAGGGACTCGGACCACTGTCACCTTCCTTACGTCACGGTCACGGTCACAGTCATGTTGGACCCTAACCCTTGTGAAACCAAGCTTGCCTGCTGCCGTCCGCACTCAACATCAGACTGCAAATGAAGCCAAGCCATCAATCAATGCCAAAGGCAACAAATGGTTCCCCCGCTCCAGTCATATGTCTCGGCTCACAAGCTGAGAACGAGACGTCTTCTTGTGAAACGTTCTTCACTACGAGATTGAGAACCAAGAAGACTGGACCGAGCGACTAATTCTCACGGACATTTGCGGTTGTTCGTCCCTTTTAACTGCGTTTCAAGTCCTCTTCGTTGTTGTGTGGTATGATTGATTATGGTATTTGAGTCCTCCCATCTCCCCTTAACGAGCTATTCCGTTCGATGGGGTGATCAATTTCTCTTTGAGGATGGCTCGTTGGAGGGAAGTTGGAGGACTCAACATCGTGGTTGCTCTTTCCTGCGGGCCTGGAATTGAGTGATGTTGGCGAGGAGCGCTTTCCCTAACATGACAGACTCGGAAACCAGACAGAGTGAGGCATCTCTGGAATGTTAGTATGAGGGGGATGGGCCGCACTCGGTTTTCTGTTTGGGCTTCCGCTTTCTTTCTGCTACATCATCATCGCCAACATCATCGCCATCGCCAACAGCATCGCCATCGCAACATTCTAGGAATACAAGAGGCATCCCGATTGACTATCATTTCATCCGAATATTTCCAACCACCTGGAAAGTAAATGTTGTCCTCTTGCTCGAGATTGGTATGGTAAGCTAATGAAGCCGTCTTCGCCAGAAGACAAGCAGCTCCTCGACATACAAACGAACCCTTAGGCAGAACCAACCGGCATCAGTAACAACAGACAAATCCGAACATGTGCATGTACAACTAGGAGTTTTACCAATGTGGTTGTCCGGTCCATAAACACCCACCACATCAAAAGCTCGTGCTCTGCCCGCTGAGCTGTGCCGGCCCCTATCGAGACCAGCTCGTCTTTTCTCCCCAGGATTGCGGAACTCCCCATTGCGTAAACGTACAACACTACTGGAGATGGCTCATCAACACGCGCCGAAAAGGACCGCAGCACTGGCACATGTTCTGTCATGACTATCGCGCTTGGAGAGTTGCATACGAGAGACATATAGAGCACGGTGCGCCACCACATCCATACCACAACGGTATTCCATTTTGGCATCGCGCCTATCCTTACTAGAATGAAGCCGGGCCGGGTGCCGCCGTCGCCGTTGATTACAAGGCCGGTATTCGGTCAGGTCCTATCTTGGGCACCCTATTACAGCTGGTTCCTCTACCGCCGATGCGGTCGACGATCCCATGGTGGCAGGACAGGACAAAAGAACAACGCGAACAGGTGCTGCGAGAGCAACAGATTTTGTTCCCGTATTGTACACGAGAAGAAATCTGGAGTCTTCTGCAAGGTCGGCCCCTTCCGATCGATGCGCTGTCTTTGGATCCGGGGCTGGAAAAAGAACTCGCTGATCGGTTTCCCTATCCTTTGTGTCTCCCTCTTGACGCAGATGAATGAAGAACACAAGTCAAATTGACGGGAGATGATCAGAGGAGAGATTTAATCAACCACACCTAGCGGCGAGCATCCTGGAGTAGAGTATCAATTATAATGGCTTTATATCACGGCTACCCCATCCTTGAGTCTTTTGAATCTTTTATCTGTGACGCGGTTGACCCCTCGCCCGTTCTTTCCCATGTATACGTCGTCATGGATATCAGATGGATAGCAATCAGGCTGCTCCTCCTCAAAGATCGCCGGTTGCCTTGAAGAGAAGGCACCGACTTGATGCTTCAGCTCGTACCGGTGGAAGCTACAGTTGAGGGAGAATGGATCATCTTCAACATGACTCCAAAAAAGCAACAATTCCGTGTTCCATGGGCTTCTTACTTCTGCATCATCATCATCACTCCATGAATTCTCAACCATAACACTGAACAAACGCGAGTGTACATCCCCGTTGTCTACGCCTTATATCCCTACGCTTATTCTCTTTTGAACAAGATAGTGAGTCTATTCCCTCTCTCCATAAACAACGGAAACTGACAGCAACAGAAAACTTGTTAAACCATTAGAAGCTTCGTACGCGCAATCTTGGGCAAACAACGACCTATTAAAGGCCACAAGACCAAACCGAAGCCCGGAATGTGTCTGCGGGTGCTAGTTCTTTATCAATGTGGATGTAACGCGACCCGAACCATACCAGAATACCCTGATCAAACCTACGAAATATGGTCTTGCCATGGGTACATACCTTCCTGCTACCTGTTTCAAGGGAGCCGCCGCTTGTCTTGCGTTTACATCCTCGCTAACGACTGTGGCCGACCGACCTGCAAAGCCGTGAGAAACTATTGGGGCTGGCGAGTCCATCATGGGCTCTCTCATGAGGCCACCTGGTGGTTATTCGCCCAATTTTATGACCGTTGGTATGCCGCCGGTGCCAACGACCAAGCCTTACCCGTAGCTGTTAACCATCCACACGAACTTGCCCCTCATCGATGGGACTACAGATACCCCCGTTACGACCAGCCGGGGTTCCTCTGCGTCACAAATAGGCACTACAGCACTCGGATGAAGAATACAGCAGACGCGCCGCAGCCGCCGTGGCCTGTTTTCGATGTGCCCAACCCGGACCCGGACCTCAGCATTGACTACGAAAATTATCCAACGCTGAACAAGCGAGTACTCGAGGAGGAAGATCCGCGGCCACTGGGACTCGGACGGGAAGAGGACTTGCAGCCGCCGGCACCCTTGGAGGACGGAGTCCGCGTAGGTCCTCGCCGCCTAACGATAGGGCAAATGCACATGCTCCACTTTTACCATTTGGAGTGTAGGTTTGAGATGAGTGGAAGCAGCGAGTAGTAGTCTTGGTGTGTATGCGCGGAACGAGTGGTAGCTGTCGATAATGGTGTCGGCTATGGGTTGTATTTATGAAGAAGTTGAAATAGGGTGTGCTACCGGGAATTGGGCGAACAACGATTCCCATCTACTTGGGTTGCGCGGCTTGGACGGAGAAAGGGGGTGGGTAAGCAGGGACGGGAGATAAACTGCCTTTATACTTGTAAGTATCAATACGTAAAGGGATGGATAATCGATACAACAGCGTGTCAGTTACCTTCCATTCTCTGTTATACTCCAAATACGTTGCCAACGTCAATGCAGACTAACTTACAGACATTGTTGACTGGTCTTTCCGTCAAGCTTTCCTTCCTTCTTTGCTGTCCCGACTCCCCTGAATTCGCGACCTTTCTTCAGTACCGCATGGCCCTTGACTAACCCCAAACCTCGTATCACCATGTCATATTCCCCGAATCTTATACCGATAGACTACGTAGCAACCACTCATTCCCCTCAACCCAACCTCTCCCCTTATTATCATCTCTGCCGCTTATCCTTCCCTCCCCCTCTTCCTTTATCCTCCTTATCTCTCTCCCTCTTCTTCTCAGTCTTTCCGTGTTTCGAGGCATCTTTGCTTCTGCTGCTACTGCTCTTACCCCTGGGCGCTTCATCAGCAGACAAAGGAGCTGTAAGTAGGCATGCCGCACCTGAAGCATCTGCATCTTCGGTGTATCCATCATGTCCATTATAATCACCAGGAGCTGTGAGGTAGACGGTGGACTTTGGAGCTGGGAGAGGGAGATAGTATCCCGAGGACGAACTGGGATGCGTGGACTGGTATGGATGATACCTCGTCTCAAGCTGATATATTAATTCATGATATTCAAGGAAGGAGCCTACTACTTCATTTGGTCTCACCAGTGATCTAATCTACCCGTTCGTAGGTGTAAATAAAGGAATAAGCAACCTTGGACCAACGCACTGGCGGTAAGGAGATGATGAGTGATCAAGAAGGAACATCACACTTATTTGTGTGCTGTTAATTCCTGTTGACTTAAGTAGCTCATCCAAGACAAAATAAATGAGACCAACCAGCAGGTTAGGTAGGTAAACCAGTCTACCTACTACCGCTCGTCAAAATTAAAATGAAGGCCGTTTGCAAGACTATAATAGGGATTATACCAATTCGAAAAGATATTGGCGTAAGTTCCATTTGGAATATTTTTATTTAGAAATTGCCTAGAACTCAAGGACCAGAGGTGTTACAAAGACGCTTGGATGCGTGGTAGGAAGGAGTATACCCAAGGCATACTATACTTAATATTACAGGTCTCAATTATTTTGTTGTCCAGGACGAGAGTAGGTATGTCGGTAGGACCCTCGATCGGTTTTGAATCACTCACTTTGAACCTATCGGCCGGGAAGCATAGTTCTTTAACCCCCCTAGAAACAGCTGGGGATGATGGATGAATGGGCATTATATGAAAGTATAGGATGAAGCACCCAAGTAATTAATTCCTGTTAGCTTCGTACATGAGTTGCAGATGTACTACCATCCAAGGAGTATTTATCTCTAGATCCTTAAGAAGGTATTGTCCTGATGGCAACCTAGGTATCAAAGCAACAACATGACGCAGAAGAAATCTCGTACCCCTGACGAAAGTTAAGAATGACGGTCGAGTGTTAGTCCAAGAGCAATGGAAACTCAAGCCCAATACATTTGCGTGATAGAAAGTGTGGCCGAGTTCCAACATCACTATCATGACTTATTCATTTGGCCAATGCTCTCTCCCTACAATGGTGATTACAGAACTTGGGCATCAATCATCATGGGCTTTGCAGTCCACAGACCGGATGTTGTTCGAATTGCTTTTGGGCGGGAATTGCTATTAGTCGGAATCAAATACTTATTGACAAGTATATAGTGTATCTAAGAAAGACCTAACCTTGAATTGGAAGGAGTGAGAAAATCGTATTTACGTGCATGTGGTCTTAAGAAAAACCACATCTCAGTGGACAGCAATAATATTATATCATAAAGGGAAGAAGAAAGTTGTCGGGAGTAACACACACACGCACTCACTCTCTCGGGTGGACCGATTATCTGTCCAGTGTAAATATCATCTTCAACCAGGAAATGTGTTCATCATATACGTTTCACAATGTCAAGAGATCATGCGCGTATGATTTTTTTTGAGGTTCTGAACATCTTATTATAATCCATTCATAGGTAAGAAAACTCGATGAGATGGACAACCAGTTCACGGTATTATATATGGAGGATAACAGTGACACTACGAGAAATATCGACAAAACTGTTGCCACGAAACACTCTAATCCATCAGCAGGCACACAAGTATAATAGAGCAACAACTGAATCTCGGAGGGTTGGTTCAAGTATACATCACTTCTTCGCCGGTCAAGTTCCGTCGTCACTTGAACAACCCATCTGAAGGGGACACAGACACCTTTGGATCGGATCAACGACACTCTTGTCTCTATCAGATACCAAAGTACCGTGGAAAGTTAGTCACAGTCGAGCAACGTCAACGATGCGCGGAAAAACCGAGATTATAAAATCCGCTCCTCGAATAGTCTGTCTGCCAGAATGTAACTAAGTTACTGCTACTTACGTAACCCCAGAGCTGTAAAAGGGGCACCATGAAAACCTCGAACCTCGAAACATACAACACAAGTGACACCCATCCTTTCCATCCTTTCACGATCGACTCATCATCGACTGAACACATACATATGCGCTCCTCAAACCTGACTAGACGTAACCACACTCCCATTCATTTTCCGCTTCATCCCGTTCAGAAGAAAAAAGACCTTGTCCCTAGGAAACAAAAAGAAACTAGCAAATAATTATCAGGGTTGTCACAATCCTTCCCTTCATGAATCTCCACCAGAGATATAAGCCGGACTGGACGACAACCAAATTAGAGAGAGACCATTACCTCTAATAGTTGAGCTCTCCACCGTTTCCTCCAGCCGTGGCATCTAAATCCTCGTAGCTCTTGATCGTCCTTCCCTGGACCGCCTCACGCGGACCCATAGCCGCGTTTCCGGCGGCGCCATCACCCCAGCGGTTAGTAGGACCTCCTACGCCACGACCACGACCGGCCATTCCGCCATCCATGCCTCCTGGGTACCGAGGGTTAGGCCGACGGTCGTAGGGACCAGTACGACTCTGGAATCTACCTCCAGCACCGCCCATATGACCGCCACGGCGGATGGGGCCACCTGCGCCAGTGCGATCGTCACCACCAGCGGCATGCCAGTTGGACGCCGCCCCGGCCATGGCACCAGCGTTCATCATGTTGGGAAACATGGATGGGATGGGGAAGCCCGGGAAGTTCAGCATGCTGTTCATGGCGTAATTTTGCAAGTTGAAGCCACGCGGGGTTCCAGTCGGTTGCTGGCCGTTAGAAGGCGGGAAGTGGCCATTGGAGTTGGCATCGGTCCTGGACGGCGCAATGTGTGCAGGGTCGATGACATAAGCATTGACCAAGGCGATCTTGTTGAAAGTCAGTACTCAGTCCATCCAGTTGAAAGAAGAAAACTTACCTCTTCCTTGAGCTTATCTAGCCACTCGTTGTGTCGCTTCTCAACGTGCTTCTTCCAGAAATGCTCCTCCTTGAAGAGCTTGGTGCACTCGGGCACCTTGCACCTCCACTTGTTCTCGTCTTCCTGCTTGACGTACTTGGCAAGCTCATCGTTAATGGCATCCTCAACCGGCTTACCGCCCAACTTTCTAATGTCAACCGTATCGGGCTCAAGGATCTGCATGATCTTGTCCTCAAAGGTTTTGACCCAGTTGTACGCCCGCTGCAGCTGTTGCTCGGTCTTGGAAGACGTGCGGAACTTGCGTTCACCCTCAGGCGCCTCACCCTCCTCGACGTCCTCGGCATCCTTACGCTTCTTGGAAGGGAAAGGCTCGCCGAGCGCGCTCGCACGAGCGACGGCCTTGGCCGACGACGAGAGCGTGCTACGGGGTCTGCGGAGATGGCCGCCAGGGCACTTTCTCGTCAACTCATGGATGGAGTCACTCTCAAAGACGCAAAAGAAGCAAAAGTTGAAGACACGGCGAAGATACTCAATCATGAGGTCCAGCTGCTTCTTCTTGACGAGCAAGTCTTCATCATCGACTTCGTCATCGACCGTCCCCTCATCTTCATTGTCATCGTCATCATCTTCATGTTCTTGGCCCTCTTCATCCATGGCTTCATCCATGCCAATCGACTTTTCCTTCTTGATCTTCTCTTTCTTGATGCCAGGAGCGGAGACCGCAGGCTGCAGGCGACCGGCGGCCCTCAGGTCCTCTACGCGCTCATCGATCTTGAGCGTGGCATTAAAGTCGGAGCCGAAGTCCTCTTCGAACTTGTTGACAAGGCGTCTGACAAGCTCGAGGTCCTTCTCGATGCGTTCAGGTGCAGAGAAAAGATCCCAGAGGGCCTTCTTCCTGGGGTTCATGGGTGGATTGTGTACTCCTACGTGGCAGGTGAAATCACCGCGCTGTTCATCTTTGACAGTCTTGCCGTTGATGGCCTCCAGGGCCTTCTCAGCGGTGCTGGGGACGTGAGGCTTGGCTGAGCCCTCATCATCATCGTCTTTCATTTCATCCTGAGCGATGGGAGCCTCGGGTGCAGGGTGCAACATGATCCAACCGATACGGTGGTATCGCTTACTAGGATTTGGATCACTCAACGAGAGCCACTTGAATCCACCCTCTTCCTCGCCAAGATGCTCCTTGCAGAAGGCCTCAAGGTTCTGACGACTGACCGACGGGGCAATAGTCTTGATCAGGAGCGTTGGCTGGAACAGATTCTCGTCCCTGATGTCGGCACTATTGGCTGGGACCAAGTCACCGACGCCGAGAACCTCGTTCGCAGCAGTTGCCTCACCTTCTTCCTTTTCCACAACACCGCCAGCACCATTGCTCTCGCTCTTGGGGATGCCCTCGAGAGAAAAGTCGTCAAAGGTGCCGGTCTCGAGATCTTGCTCCCACTGCGTGTAGGCGCCACGGCGGAACTCGTTCAGCTGCTTTCTGAAGCCGTCTCTGATTTCTGGGACATAGCGTTCCCTGAACCACTGCTCGTCCTTGTGTTGCTTGACAAAAGTTTGTGCCATCTTGGCCTGAAGCTCTTCCTTGTAGGCATCGTAGGCGGCCTGAATCTTGGCCTTCTCCTTCTCACGCTCCTCCGGACCGCGGACCCGCTCGGGCTCACGGCGGCGGCCAGTGCGCAACCTCTCCTTTTCCTCCTTGATTTTCTCGTTTGCCCTCCACCACTCGCCGTAATATGAAAAGCCGACTTGGTAGGGGAGTTTGATCGGATCGGGGATAGGGTTGGTCAGAGGTTGGATTGGGGCCACGTCCTGGCCAGGAACATAGCGGTCAATATTGGCCGGAGGGGATCGCATGCGTCTCGACTGGTCATCGCGATCGCGAGGGTCGCGGAGGTCGCGGGGGTCACGGGGATCGCGGGGATCGCGGGTCGGGTAATCGTCGCGCGTGCGGGCTCTGGGTTCGTAACGATCAAGCGCCGCCGGGGATCTCGAACGACGTCTGGTGCGGTCGGCTGATGCAGGAGTGAGTACGGTGTGGAGGAATGAACGCATGATCATGGGGCTGAGCGATGGGGAAGGACGGTCTACTGTGGTGCAACACGAAAAGAATGAGATGATGGACGTACCAGGAGATCTGCCACGATAAAAGGTGTCCCTCTCGTCTTTGATTCTGTCATCACCTCTGCCCCAGCCCCGATCACCAGGTGACCGAGCCGAACCCTCTCGGTAAGAATGGTAGGACGAGTCCATCGTTGATGGGAATCTGCTATGTGAAGGTGGGTTGGAATGGACTGTTTCCGTCTCTAACCGTATCGATGAAAGGATGGAGGAACGGGATGGGAGGTGGTCGGAACCGGATTAAGGAACCGCGTCGTATAAGTGTCGATTTTGGACGTTGGATGTTTTCTGAAGGACAGCAAGCGTGGTGTGCTGCTTGTCAAGTAACGGTAGCGGAAGCCGGACAGCTGATTGCGCGTAGAGGTTGGCTTCTGTTTGGCGACATGATTGCGGTTAGAAGGCTAACTCTAGGGTGAGGAAGATCTAAGCTGGGAGTAAAAGATGGAGAGAAGCGGAAGTGATTGTGGAAGAAGAATAAGAAGACAAAGAATATCGATGAGGTAGATGTGATGTTTCTGGGGTTTGCTGCTTGGTATGCTGGAGTGGTGGTGGTGGTGGTGGTGATGATGATGATGATGATGGTGAAGGTGGGAGGAGGAGACGGTCAATGAACAACAGCAGAGAGAGCTCGCTCAGCGCCAACACACTCTCGTCGCTGTACAAGAAGAAGAAGAAGGGGGGAATCGAGTAAAACCAAGGCAACAATAACAATGGCTGGAAGGATATCTGAACAAGTGAAGGCTTGAGGATAATAAAAAAAAAGGGAATAACGAACAATTACATGGAACGAAGTGTTGATGGCCCGTTGCTGGTCGCCGTCGCGCAATGAGGGAGGTTGTCTGGGTACAGGTTGGATTTCCCGTGGCGTCGCGCGTGGAGATTCCCAAGGTAGGTAGTGTAGGGATGGGGTGATGGAATGGTGTACCTGGCACTCCTGGCACTCCTGGCTTGCTGTGCGAGTCGGGAGAGGGAGGAGCTGCAAGTCCACTGTTAGCTCAGCAGCCGTCCACACCTTCTTTGATCCACTTGCCGCTGTAGCCAACTGAACCGCTCCTGGCCAGCCGAGTCACGTGTAGTCTCCACTTTCCATCCATTGTCCAACGGGGGAGGCAGTCCATCAGAGGAAACAAACGACTGCTGACACTGTTCCTGTTTCACCAAATCATCAGCAAGATTGGCCTCGTAACCACATGGCTACCTCTATTCTATAACACAGAACACTTGAAGCTCTATACTATGTATGCGTTTCAGTTTTCTTGTTCCTTTGAACCTCGGCCCGTTCAAAGTGCCAAAACGCGGAGACCGGACTTTTCTAAGCGATGTCCACAAGAGGGGCAGTGACAGCTCGCGATCCAAGGGACCAGTCATCTGGCAAGTACATCGAGCATTCAACGAATGATCTGGCAAAGAGTTTGTACCGCCAAGGTTGCAATCTCACTCCAAACAGCAAAGTATGTAAACACAGGGACAGAGTTACAGTGGCAATGATGCCACGGAGATATTTACTTCAACGCCGGTGAACCCCTTTCCGCTCTCAAGCAGCACAGTGTTAGCAATACAGACCCTGAACTTAACTTAGTTTCCAAACCTGGCCATGTCGTCATTACTTATAGTCAGTCATCCGACTTATACATGAGGTGAACACCACCACCACCACCAGGAGCCGAGGCTTCCATTCCAGCACTCTTTCTCATTTCATATATCAGACGCCTATAGAATCTGTCCCCAGATTAATATACGTCCTTTTCTCTGATTTCTCTGGTCAACTTGACGAAACAGCATATCCCGAATACAACAAAACATATCAACACTGGTTACAACAACCACAAAACCGCCAAAATGACGAGCTACATCCCCCAGCTCACCCTCCCCTCTTCCATCTTCACCTCAGCACCAGCCTCCATCCTCCTCCCCGTAGCTCTCGGCACAGCCGTAGGCTTCGGCACAGGCTTTGGTACTTTTACTCTTTCCTCCTTCCTCCTCTTCACATTATCCCCCCCCTTCCACTTCATAACCCAAACTAACACTTGACAAGTCTCCGACCAAAAACGCCAATACCACTCCCTCCGCCAACCCCCGCTCCGCCCACCTTCCTCCGTCTTCGGCCCCGTCTGGACCCTCCTCTACGGCACCATGGGCTACGCCGCCCACCGCGCCTACCACCTCGGCACTTCTTCCCCTTCTTCTCTCCTCCTCCCAACCACCAACCCATCATCAACAGTCCACCACACCGCCACGCTATACACCCTCCAACTCGGCTTGAACTTAATCTGGATGCCCCTCTTTTTCGGTCTGCGTCGTCCCATCCTGGCTACCCTCGACTGCGCCGCTTTGGTGGGGATCAATGCCTACTTGGCCTGGACGTGGGGAACGCAGATTGACGCGGTGGCGGGCTGGTTGATGGTGCCGTATGTGTGCTGGTTGGGGTTTGCTACGTACTTGAGTGCGGGGAGTGGGTATTTGAATGAGTGGGATTTTAGCGAGGAGAGGATTAGGAAGGGGGAGGAGGAGCAGAAGAGAAAGAAGAAGGGGTTGTAAAAGGGTGGGTGGATGGAGGGTAGAGCAAGCAAGTAGGCAAGCGAGTTAGCTCTTGGGATTGGTTACCTAGACTAGTTGAAGGAGAACGACAAGAAAGCTGTTGGTTTGGGTTTCACTGGGGAAACGAAAAAAAAAAAAACACAACATGAGTTGAGCCCAAGGTAGCAATTGCAAGGTAATTCAATATGAACTGCTCCAAATCAGTTGTTGTTGTATGTGCAAGCAACTTAGTCTACCCAAAGCCATCCTCCTTCTATCGATGCACCTGAACTGAACGTTCTTGTGATACCTGGCTGGGTATGTCCCGTCCCTCTTTAGCCACAATCCTTCCTTTTTGTTTCCTCTTCCTACGTAGTATCTTTGGTATCATCAATCCTCCTTGAAAGAAAACGATGTGTATGTAAAAACAGATGCAAACGCTCCAGTTCCAACCAACCCCATCTATAAACTTTGCGCCGCCGACCGTTTCCTCTTCTTTTCTCCCCACAGTTTACCAGCCATCTTCCTTATGCTCTCCAGATCCTTCCCTCTCCTCCCCCCCCAAAAAGCAACCCGACATTGACGGAACCCCTCTTTATCTCATGTCCCTTGTCTACTGGTTTTCCTTCCCCTCTAATGAAAATGTACGAACCCCCTCCTCAAGCCATAGGAAAATACTTCTTCAACCCATCATACACCATAAAGATGAAGGCCGAGCTCGGCGCGCTCCTCAACACCGTGATCCCGCACCCCCTATAAAACCCCTTGATGCCCGCCTGCTTCCACAACGCCCTCGCCTCCTCGCCAAAACTCTTCTTGGGCATCGTCGCCGCTTTTCCTCCATTATCCCCTCCACCACCAATCGGGCTCGTCTGCATCCTGCTCTTGACCGTATCAGCCGGGAAAAACAGAAAATTATAGCTCATGCCCGCCGACGCCCCCGCAATCGCCTGCTGCCACAGCGGCAGAGGCCTCTCCCTACTCGCCAACACCTCCTCCTGGCTTGCGCCGCGCTTCAGCAGGGCTCGCTCGTTCCTTCCCCGGAACCACTTGGACGTAGTCTCCTTGGACCCAAACCAGGCCGCGCAACCGCCCGCTTCGCGAATCAGCGTGCCCAGCTGCCCATGCCAGAACCCACGTAGTCCTTCATGCCGAAAGATCTCCTTGATCACGGGGATCGGCTTCAACTGCCGCTGTCGTGCTCCTGCTCCGCCACCACCAGGTTCGTCAGGGACTTGGATCTTGCATTTGACTAGCTCCACGGGCGTCAGGATGAGGCTGGTGAAGGCGCCGGAAAAGCCGCCGGTGAACCAGAGGGCGGACAGCGAGAGCTCCGAGTCGCGCGGGGCGAAGCCGGATGAGTACAAAAGACTGCGGCCGATGCGCTCAAAGAAGAAGAGGGACGAGTTCTCGAGGGCGGCGCCGACGAGCGGGGCCGAGATGCCCCGGTACAGACCGAGGAAGCCGTCGGCGCGGATGGATTGGCGGAAGCAGTCGAGGGGACCCGTGTACCGCAGGGGAAGGTGGTCGGGTTGGGATTGCAAGCGGACTTTGACTGTGTCGAAGGGGTATTCGATGTATTTGCCTACGATACCGGCGGCCTATGCATAGGTGAGTAAGTGACAGGTTTGAAAGGTTGTGAATGGTGAGTGAGTGCACGTACAGATCCGTAGACGATATCCTCCAGAGCCTCCATCACTGCTGTCCGTGACTCAACCTTGGTCGGTAGAGATGTGGTTGTTGTGAGGTGAGAGGCAGAAGCAGCACCCGCTTCCTTGAAGCCCTGGTGCGTCTGGGCTGGTACGGAGTCCATTTTGATGATGTGGGCTGAGAAGCCTGTGATTAGGGAGAGAGAAAGAAAAAAGGTTGAGGTTGAAGAGAGAGAGGTGTGATGAAACCTGACCAATCCCCTCGTTGCAAACGACGTGGGAAGCTAGCCGGTTATCAAGATGCTATGCAGTTTGCGCCCAAGGAGGCGTTTTGTGAATTTGCGATCTGTCGACTCCCGTGAGATGGCACGGAGGTTGTTAAACGGTGTGTGATGCGCGATGCGCCTGTGTGACTGATGAAGAGATGCCGAGATGTCTTCACTTCTTCTTGACTCGTGATCTATATGAGGAGTCAGAATGGTTTGGAGTCGACAGCCGTTGTTGTTCCAGGAAAGAAGCCCGGCTAGAGGAAAATAAGAAGAAACGAAAAGAAGTCTATGTTTGCTCAAATTGAAGCAAGGGGAGGAAAAAAAAAAAAAGAAAAGGTGTTGCAGGTGAAGGTTTATGGAACAAAAAGTGGTAGTGAGAAGGCCGGGTTTGGATGAGGGTCCGTACTCTTGTGAATCCTCGGGGTCGCCGTTCTCAGACTTGGGGACTACGCTACACTATTTCAGGGATCACCACCGATGATAAGGAATACGTAAAGCCAACCTTATTTGGGTCCACGGGTAGGGTAAAGATTCCGGAACAACGCAAGACCAAGAGCGGAGCGGAGCCGGGTCGTTGGTGTGAGCAAAGTGCCTCAAGTGGTTAAATGACATGTGCTCTTCTCGACTTCTGAAATCATGCTTCATCCATTATTTTTGGAGTATGCGCCTTGTGAATGACAAATTTTCCCACCACCACCAACACAAAGAAATAAAAAAGCATCAAGGGTACAAAAACCCTCAGTTATACTAAGTAGACCGAGGCAGTGTATGTATTACCCACAATACCCTTGTAACCAGATTTGAACAGAAAGGAAACATTGGCCGGTGTTCAACTCGATGAAGAGACAGAGAGGAGAGAAGTCATCACTCACCAACTTTGGGGCGGAAAGGTGACGGACGGGGTCGATGGAAATCGATCATCGGGAATTTCCGTGAGTTACAGCAGGCAACTCTCAGCCAGCCCGCAGCGGCATTCAGCGAACGACAGGACAGGACAGGGCCCCCGTCCCACAGTGAAACGTCGAGAAGAAGTGGATTTTGTGGACAAAAATTTGGTCAAAGAAATCCGAGAAACGGAAACTTGGCGCGGTTTCGAAGTCCAGGAGCAGTCGCGTTGCAGGGCCCAAGACCCGCCGAGTCTTTACCAGTTTCGCCCATTTCAAGCGGGACTCAAGCGCCAGAACGGGGGACCTGCTGGAGGGGCTAGACATGTGACCCACACCGAGGATGCTTGGCGACATTATCTGATGATCTGATAATTTTCAGAAAACCATCTCCACTGCAACCTCAACCAACTCCTCTCCAGGCTTCTCCCTTGGTTCTCACCGTCTCTTCATGTGCAAATACACACGCGGCCGAATCCGCAATCGTTACGTGGAGAAAGATGGTCAAGTATCACATTAAATCCCTCAAACCATCCACCTTACCCATCCCATGCTGTTGACGTCTTCTCTCAACAAGTCGAGTAATGATATGCATATAACGTTATAAGAACATTCAACTGCATAGTGTAATATACTACACTAGTTCCATGACCCGCCCTTCCCACTATACCCATTGCTCTCCTCCAACTTCTTCTGTCCCTTCTGCGGCTTATTCTGAGCAGCCTCGTGTCTCCTGAGCTCATCCGGCACCTTGGAGATGGACGACTTGGAGATGATCTGCCTCAAGTCATACAACACATCATTATCTTCCGGACCCAAGAAAGTAATAGCCACACCACTCTTGCCCGCACGACCCGTACGACCGATACGATGCGTGTAAGACTCAATGTTGGTAGCCATGTTGAAGTTGACAACCAGCGAGACGTCGGGCACATCGATACCACGACCCGCCAAGTCGGTGGCTACCAGGATGTCTGTCTGCCCGTTCCGCAGCGACGCCAGCGCCGCCTCACGCTGCTCTTGTGTCTTGGAACCGTGCAGAGTAACCGCCGAGTAGCCCATGCCCTTGATGTCGCGCGCAACCATGTCGCAGTTGCGCTTGATGTTGACAAAGACAATAATGGGCGGCTTGAACTGCCCCGAGTTGAGGATCTCCTGCAGACGCTTCTTGCGCTTGTCTTCGCCGGATACGAACTCGACGCGCTGCTCGACCGTGTCGACGGCTTCGCCTGCGTTACCGATGGTGACGATGGCTGGACGACGTAGGTATTTCTTGGCGATGCGCTCCACGATTGGAGGCATGGTAGCTGTGTACATCATCGTCTGTCTGTAGCGATCTTTGCCGTCCACGTACCGGCTCATCAGTTGCGGGTTCTCCGCATCGTCTGTGTCTGGCTTTTCGTTGGTTACCGGCATGGCATCCAAGATCTTGGTAAGCGGCTCTTCGAAACCCTGGTCAATCATACGATCGGCTTCATCCATAATCGTGTAGCAGCACTGAGAGAAGACAAGCAAACGTCTCTCGAGACAGTCCACGAGACGACCAGGTGTGGCGACAATAATCTCGGCACCGTTCCGTAGAGCAAACGCCTGCTCTTCGAGCGAGTGACCACCCACAATACTGACGACTGTAAATCCGAGGGGTGTAGCAAACTTCTTGGCCTCGCTCTCAATCTGTTGCACCAGTTCTCTTGTCGGTGCCAGAATCAGGGCATATGGACCGTCATTCTTGTTGTACTCGGTAAGGGGTGGTAGTTCGGAGATGTAAACCAGTAGAGGCAGCAAGAAAGCTGCAGTTTTACCGGAACCCGTCACGGCCACACCGATCAAGTCGCGTGCTTGAAGGGCAATGGGAATGGCAGCTCTCTGAATAGGCGTCGGCTCGTCGTAACCCACGTTCTTGACAATGTCGAGCAGACGCCTAGGCAGCGTGGACTCTTCCCAACTGCGCATAGGGTTGGGAATGGCACCACCCTTGGTCGCAATGCCAAAGTTTTCCTTGAAGATACGCCAATCGCGCTCCTTCATGTCTTCCAGCTTCTTCTCGGACCAGTGCTTGCCCAGGTTCTTGCGCTGTTCCATCTCCTTGATCCGTCTGTGTTGGTCCAGGTATTGCCTAGCGCGCTCCTCGCCTGTCTCGGGATCGCCACGGCGGATGGCTTCGGCCTTACGCATCACCATCTCTTCCGTCATCTCGTAACCACCAAGTCGGACCAGAGGCTCTTGACGCTCTGCGTAGATGGGGTCGAAGGGTCGGCTAGTGTCGTCATCGGCATCCCAGTCAAAGTTGAACTTGTTCGCTGCCGTCCTCCTCCTCTTCTTCTTGGCCGAGAATGTGGACTGATTCACTACTGGACCCATGTAGCGGGCGCGCAGCTCTGCCTCGTCGTTCCTCTCCATCTTGGCTCGCTTCTCTTCGTCATCGTTGGGTGCGCCACGTTTTGCGCCACGTGGATTTCTGTCTCGGTTATCTCTGTTGTCGCGATTGTCTCTGTAGTCCCGACCGTTGCTCATGCCGTTGGGTCCCCGGTCATCGTCGTACCGCATCGCCTTGGGACCGGTTGGGATGTTTCGTTGAGGGTTGTGGTTGTGATGACTCTGGATGCCGTCCATGCGGTTGCCATTATGATTTGTTCCATTTGGCTGAGACTTGGCTTCTTCCTTGCGCTTGCGTTCCTCTTCTTCCTTTGCCTTTTTCTCGGCTTCTAGCCTCTCTCGTTCCTTTTTGGGGATGAATCTTGGTTTCGCGGCGGCGGCTTCTTCCTCCTTCTTCTTGCGCAGCAGTGCTGCCAGGTCTGGGGGTTCCCGTCTTGATGTTGTGCTCATCGTGGTAGCTCGTGTGATTGAGTTGATGATGGATCGAAGTAAAAGACTGGTCGGAGGCAACAGTGTTGAAAATAAACGTGTTGATTTCCAAGCAGTGCTGGGTTCCGGAATTGGTCGTTGTTATGGCGAACTTGGGTGGTTCTGGGGTGCAGCGGTGCAGCACAGTTCTCGTTCTCGACCCGCCCAAAAGTTATGTCACGGTTCAAGATCGGTGATCCCTGTTGTGCCTGTTCAAGGGTCTCCACATGCCGCGCCTTACGCGGGGGGTTAACAAATCGGGTTAGGGTTCAACGTGCAACTTCCGGCTGTTGTTATCGTTTCGCGCCCTGGAACTTTTTCGCAGTTGGGGTCCCGTCGGCGGCCGGGCGATTGATCGCAAAGTTCCCCGTTCCGGTTCGTTCGAGCAATCCGGACCCTGTCACCTACGACAAAAACAAACAAACAAACCCCCCACCTCGACCGACACAGCACCGCCAGCAGGCCGGTCGATCGACATCTTCACCATGGCGGCCACGGTGAAGCAGCACGTCCAGCTGGCGCTTTCGCTCCCACCGCGGTTGCGCACCTTCTTGGCCCGGTACCCGCCGGCCGCGATCCTGCCCGCCGGCGCCGACCCCGAGACGCACAAGACGCCCTACCAGGAGGAGAGCCCGAACCCGTTCATGCCCACCAAGCACCCAATCACCGGAAAGTGGCACAACCCCAAGTACTCGCTCAGGCGACAGGCCGAGCTCGTCAAGCTGGCCCAGGAACACGGCGTCGAGGAGCTGCTGCCCTTCACCCGCAAGCTCAACGAGGAGAAGCTACGGAAGAGAGTCGAGCTCGGTCTCCGTGTCAAGGGTACCGGTGTTGGAGAGAAGGTCAAGGGTCACAAACACGAAAGGACACTGGTTGCCAAGTACGTTGTCGAACCTCGGCTGCTGCTGCTGCTGGTTGGGAGGAAGTGGTGGTTTGCTGACTGGGCATTTCGCACACAGGATGGAGAAGAGGAGAGAGGCCATGCTGGCTATGCCCGACCTTATCCGGGAATGGAAAAAGGTAAGGATTGCGCCCAAACTCTTGCGGTTTGCACTCTTGTTAACCATGGGCTTCACTACAGGTCGGCAAGAGGAACTGGACCAAGTTCCCCAAATAAGCGATCGGTCGTTGTCGCTTGTCGGGAAGATTACAACGAGAGTCACTGCCATGTCCATAGACTGTATCATCACCAACAATGTACAACAAATTTCAAGCCATTTGGAAGGGGATGCCATCGATGTGGTTTTGTTTTCCGGTTGTTGACTGAACGTCCTCTGGCGTCTTATAAGACGGTGTTCCCCACTGTGGTTGGAGGCCGGGACGAGGTAATGTGTTTAACGGTGCAGTAGTCTAAAATTCCCCCCCGAATTTGTTTCTCTGAACAACTCACTTGACGATATCAGGCACACAACCAAGACCCAAACCACCACGCGAGAACCGACACATTACACTGCCTCTTTTCTGCCCAATTTAGATTTCCTGCTGTATACAGCAAGAATGATAAGGCAGCGAGCGCAAAGAGACACGTGATTGCGGGATACAAAGTTTTCTCTCGAAGGCTTCGACGAAAACCACCAACCTTTCACCACTTACACATCATATACATCTCAACACCAAACCGGGTAGTCTCACAACCACACCGTTTTAGACTCAGGGTCGAATTACCAATACCGCCAAGATGTCCCAACCAACCCTCTACGAAATCCTCTCCCTCTCACCCACCACCTCCGACCTCACCCCCGCCATAATCAAACAAGCCTACCGCCGCGCCCTCCTCACCCACCACCCCGACAAGTCTTCTTCTTCTTCTTCTTCTTCTGCTTTCTCCTCCTCATCCACCTCCAATGGTTACTCCAACAGCCACCCCAACAGCCACCCCCCTCCAAAAACCAAAAAACCCATCTCATACACAATCGACCAAATCTCCCTCGCATACACCACCCTCTCCTCCCCCACCCTACGGACCCAATACGACGCCTCCTTACGACGTCTTGCTGCTTCCTCCCGCACCCACCCCACAACAACCCTCGGCAAGGGTAATGTAGTCGAAGACTTCCAAACAGGCATCGACACCATCGACCTAGACGACATGGTTTTCGTACCTAGTTATAGTAATAATGGCAAAGAAAAAGACACATGGTACCGCCCCTGCCGATGCGGCAACGAGCGGGGCTTTGCCCTAACAGAGGAAGATCTGGAAGAGAATGCCGACTTGGGGGAGGTATTGGTCCAGTGCGCGGATTGTACGATTTGGTTGCGGGTTTGTTATGTGGTTGCTGAGAATGACGACGACGACAAGGAGGAGGAGGAGAAAGGGGATGGGGATGATGAGGAGAAGAGGAAGAGGTAGTGGGGAGGCATCATCATCATGGCTATTAGGAAGACTTGCTGTGGGTATATAAGTGGTTGATCGGGAACAGAAGAAGGAGGTGAGTGGGCTGGATTGGATCAATGGGATCAACGAAAAGTAGAGGGGTTGTGGTGGTGGTGGTATTGAGAAGACGGCATCTGTAAGTGAGTGATGGTTTAGAATCTGGCAGGAAATGTTGGTATGGTCACTCAAAAGATACCCGTGTACCAAGACGACTTTCGGAATCACTAGCTTAGTTTGAGGAGGGTGGAGGCATAAACGAATACCACTTAGTAGGTATATTAGCCTGAGAACATTGTGTCGCAATGTTGTTTTGAGTCGGCAATGAAATGCCTGAACTAATCTTCTCCCGTACATGTAAAATATTCCTACCTATGCCTGTTACTCATCGGCCTGGTTCTTGACTGGCACGCCCAGCGATGCTGTGGGAAGCTAAAAGTGTCTGCTCGAGATCTTGCTCGAAAAAAGGGGGTAGATTTTGGGTTTGTGTTGTGGTCACGACTGCCCAGCGTACTAGTCTAAAAGACAAGACGATACCGAGACAAAAAAGGAAAACCTCCAAGGTGCTCTGCTCTGCCACCTTCTAATCCTCTTTCATATTGGGGGAATCGTCCACTTATTCTTGGATTGCTGTGTTGTGTATCTGCGTAAAACATGCAAAAGTATTTGGGGGATCTCCATTCCGACACTCCAAAGACACCATTTCCACCGTGGACTTGCCAAGATTTCTGCCAGGGAATTATCACATCATGAGACTAAAAAGGAAACGTATCCGCCACCTCTTTACTCGGCCTTGGGCTCCTCCGCCGCAGGGGCGTCAGCCTTGGGCTCTTCGGGGGCAGCCTCACCCTGAGCGGCGGGCGCCTCGGCCTCGGAAGAGGTCCAGAGAGTCTGTGGAAAAAAAGAGTCAGCGCCGTTCAACCGAATCCAACCTCCTCGAGTGTACTCACAAGGTTGTCGCGGAGGAGCTGCATGATGAGGGTGGAGTCCTTGTAGCTCTCCTCACTCAATGTGTCGAGCTCGGCAATAGCGTCATCGAAGGCCTGCTTGGCGAGGTGGCAAGCCTGGTCAGGAGCGTTGAGAATCTCGTAGTAGAAGACGGAGAAGTTGAGGGCAAGGCCGAGGCGGATGGGGTGAGTGGGAGGAAGCTCGGTCTGGGCAACGTCGGTAGCGTTCTTGTAGGCGTCGAGCGACTTGTCGGCGGAGTCCTTGCGCTTGTCACCAACGGCGAACTCGGCGAGGTAACGGTGGTAGTCACCCTTCCTGTTACGGGGGTTAGAGAGCGGCATGGTAAGCGACTCGGGGCGTTGTACACTTACATCTTGTGGTAGAAGACCTTGGACTCGCCAGTGGTGGCGGAAGGAATGAGGTGCTGGTCAAGAACGGAGAGGATGTCCTCGCAGATCTTGGCAAGCTCGCTCTCAATCTTCTGGCGGTACTCCTTGATGAGGCTGACCTGGGTAGAGTTGCCCTTGGACTCCTCCTTCTGCTCGATAGAGGTGACGATTCTCCACGAGGCACGGCGGGCACCGATGACGTTCTTGTAGGCGACGGAAAGGAGGTTGCGCTCCTCAACGGTGAGATCACGGTCCTCAGAAGCGACGATCTTCATGTTCTCCACCATCTCTGCACGGCGGAACTTATCAGTCTCTGTCGGTGGGCATCGGGCATTGATTGATTTAACGTACCCTCGTAGCGCTCGGCCTGCTCGGCGAGCTTGGCAAGGTAAACAGCATCCTCGTGGCCCATTTTGGCGGTGTTGTGAAGTTCTGAGATGTCGTGTGTTAGCGGATGAAATTATCAGGCGTGGTGGTGTGATAAAGGGGCGGGCCAATGTGAGGACGCGGGTGACTGAAATGGCGGGGTAGATATCAACGCGGGACAGCGAAAAGGAGGTGTAAGGCACAACAGCAATGCGCGCTGCGACGAAAGAAGCCCTTGGTTGCCGACCGACACGGTGAAGCCAAACTAAAAGTCGCTTTGTGTTTTGATTTTGTGAGTCCCGCGGTGTGTCGATCGAATGTCGAAGTAGACTTGCCGCCAACGGTAGGTAGGGGGTATGCGCGCAGCAGGCTGGGCAGCACCTCCTGAACGGCCGTCTTTGAAGCGGCTCCCGTCAAGTCAAAGCTCGGATGCGATGAGTGCTGCGGCCGCCGTCCATGGCGACAAAGATATGGCGTTGTCGCATCGCGATGACGACAGCGGGCGGTGGACGAGAGGAGCAGCGGGTAGCGGAAGTGCGTGTGCAGCTGATGATGATGATGATGATGATGATGCCCATGGCCGACGGTGCAGGGAGAGGGAGGAAGCGGAGAGGCAGTGTGTCTGTCTGTCTACAAGAAGCCATGATGGTACATACCTGGTTAGATATTAGAGTAGACGGTAAGGCGGTTGTAGATTCGCAAAGGCGACAATCAGCAGAGGCTTTGGTGGTGAAGAAGTGGATTTCGCTTGGTCGTTGGGGAAAAAGAAGCAGGAAATGGACAGGCAGAGTGGTTTTGGGAATGCAGAGTTGGAAATGAGGGAAGGGGGTGCATTAAGGCGGGCAGGGAAGGGGAGAGTGAGTGCGACCTGACACCTACTGGAGTGAGTGGAAGTGAGAGGAACCCGCCGGGGCGAGGCTTGCACGGCCACGCCTCCGCCTGTTTTGGGTTCTGATCGGTGCTAGTATGGGGCGGCGGCCTGCCTGCACTCGCTCCCTCTAGTCTGCTTCACCCACTGTACGCAGTATGTAGTGTAGAGCCGGTAGGGACAGGAGTGACGGGAATGGGGAACTGAAGGGAAGTACCACCAACACGTGACACCACCTCTGCTGCCTTGAGGTTGGGGACGGGATTCCCTTTGGATTGCAGCTTCACTTTGGCCGGGCAACCTACACTAGAGGTGGTATCTACGTCACGTCACTGGGCTGGCACTCACGTAGGTTCAGTCCACCTAGTTACTACCTCTATCACAGAGGTAGAGGTATAATCGCAGACGGGCCCGGACCAGGTGATGGCTCTCATCGCTTCCATTCCATCAACATCTCTACACTACCTAGAGGTACCTCTATGCAGGTGCTTGCACTCACTCCCAAGCCTGATACTACTCCCACAAAGTACATACGAGCCCAGCCAGTCCAGCCCGCTCCCTGTTTGTCCACCAACCCAAACAGCAGCTGGGCAGCCCTGCCGGATAGGTGTGCCACGCAGCGAACGACGGCGGAATCATAAAATAGGTAGGCCGAAAGGAGACACCACGTTGCTTCTTGAAGGAAAACTCTGATAGTGATAACCCTCTGTCGTGGCAGTCACAAACACCACCATCAGCCCCTTCGTGGTGGTGGTATTCAACAGCCCTATTTTCATCCCGCCAACCTGGAATCATACACGCAACGGATGGATGCCATGATTGAAGCGATTGGACCTTGGTTGCCGCTCCCTAGATTGTTCCATGAATTCCTATCCATCCGTCTCTATGGCATAAAGTGCCCGGCATATCTCGATCATGCGCTTAGTTCTCTCCACGGCCACAACTCTTTACTGCTGTAAACAAGCCAATCGCTCGGATTCCACCTGTCCAGCCCCTATGTCCTTAAACAAGACCCTGTCTCGCCTGGCCAAACGGGATCGGTCTCACACGGTCTACGACTCTTGTTTTGGCATCATCTCTACAATTTCAAGAGATCTTTCTGCTCACACCCATCACGCTGAAGCCATCTAGAGACCATACGGGTCTCGCCCTACATTTTGTCGCCCTCCAGATGTAACCGTTCCCATAGCATCAGCTGAGCTTCATCCCTCTCGCCGCGAGGTCGCTGTCCAGACCTCGATGGACAGGGATGGGCCCGCAATTCTGATTGAGAGGATGGAGTCCACCCAGGGTCCCTTGTCTGACCTTGCTCAATCGCAAGGCCCTTCACGAATGCCAGGAACACGATGATCTCCGGCTCCATGGAGTTTGGCAAAATCCATGCCGTGGTAGTTGGTACAATACTATGATGCAAGAAGGCTGGAGGGGCAAGCCGCCCATGGAGACACTCTGAATGATATATGTAGAATTCGGGCTGGAACGGCTGGAGGGTTCAATGGGACTCCAAGTTGAGTTTGGGTTGTGCAAACCCACAGAGCCGCCCGCTTGCGCCAACCAAGATCTCACTGCCGAGTGTGTTCACAGCAGGTGGGTGGCGTTCAGGTTGCAAAGTTGCCCTGCTTCTTGCGTGCTTGCAATCAAAGTCACAACATCAATGAATGAGACAAGTTGAATCAGGGGAGTTGTTGCCCTGGGCCGTTTGTTGACAAAACTAGGTACTTGGTCTAAGACACACGACGGAGTTTCGTTTGTGGTTGTCTGTCACTCCAGGGCATTGATTGACTCCAGCCAGATCATGATTGCTTTCGGACCCCCTCTCAGCCCCTGATGCGTCATTCGTTACCTCCCAGCAAGACAGCTGAAAGTGGGAAGAGGGGTGAGCTTTGGCGGGGCAGTGGGGTTGAGCGTGCCATGGAAGCTTGCGCAAAGAACACTGTCGTCGCAACAAACTGCTGCCTCAGGCGTGAACTTTGTCTGATCCAACCCGATTGCAGTAAAGCTGCCAACTGTCAGCGACTGCCACAGCCGAGCCGTCAGCGGACAGGCGGAGCAGGTCGGTGCTAGAAGCCACGAGCCTTGAGCCTTGTCCCGGTAAAGGTACGTAACCCCCAACCCGCGACGACATTCGCTGGAGAACAGAACCGAGCTTCGACGTCCATGCGGACCCGAGAAGCTCCATCCCCGTCCCCGAACTCCAGTCTCCAGTTTTCATCAGGTCATCCCAAGCAAGTGTACGCAATTGGATCACCATCGCCTACACAACGTAATCGCATTGACAACCAACTAACTCTTGACGATTCAATAGAAAAAGGTAGCTTACACCAACTTCCGCGACTGTCCAACTGTTGTAATACATCTTCTCCCATACATACACTCAACTCTTTTTAATCAAATCATCCATCAAATCTGTCTTCTTGCACGCCAACCTAAGAAAAGAGACCCCATCCGCTAAAGCTTAACCCACGTCACTCTAGTCCAACCAAACCACCAAACCAACCATCAAGATGCTCCGCACCACCGTCTCCAAGCTCGCTCGCCCTACCGTTTCCAGGGCTTTTGCGACCACCTCCCGCGCTCTCGCCGGTGAGACCGGTGCTCCCCCCAAGACCGGCGGCCCAGGGTGAGTTTTTGTTCCGCCGCGTTCCTCGCACGCGCACGTGGATACGCGGCGACTCAAACTAGTTCAAACCCGCTGACATCATACCCTCCCACCCAGTGACGCTTTCCAGCGCCGCGAGAAGGCCAACGAGGATTTCGCTATCCGCCAGCGCGAGAAGGAGAAGCTCCTCGAGCTCAAGAAGAAGCTTGCCGAGCAGCAGAAGCACCTCAAGACTCTTTCTGATCACATGTAAGAACAACCCGCCAGCCAGCCAACAGCCAACAGCCACCACCGGCGCATACTCGTCACAAGCAGACCAGGCCAGGCGCGCATCATATTGGTCGTAGTCAGCTGCGCACACCATCATCAGAGGAAGCCGGGCCTCGGTTCTCCTTGACAGATAAAAGGAAGTTCTAAAAAAGCAGTTACTAACAAGTCGATAAACAGTGACGAGATCACCAGGGAGCAGGGCGGCGAGCGCAACTAAACGAACAACAAGCAACAATAACAACCCATAAACATTATTATTTTTCTTCTTCCTCTGCTTATTATCATTCCCTCTCGCGACGTCCCATCGCAACACACGCCACTACGCCTACGCAGTATGAATGCAATGAAATGAGAAAAGCCATGGATTGGGGGGGTTAGGAAAGGATGGGACTTGGGGATACGGGGACGGCGCGCCGAGGATGAATGTCATCTTACACATATCTCAAACTTACCCCTTGTAGCAATATAGCGAGCAAAGCCATGATCGATGATCACAAAATCACGACCGGGGGACCTATGGACCTCACAAGTTGCATCAATGAGACGAACAAGTGTCTAAAGCAAAACCGTGACGGAGCTGAAGAGAAAGTCAGTCCAAGGAGTCTAACCGTTCCTGTGCTGCTTACAGTAAGGGCGATAAGTAATGGGTTCATCAGCTTCGCGCACTTGGGACAAAAGATTTTCACAACGCGGCTGGCAACTTTGCCGTTTTTTTTTTTTCGATCCAGACTCCAGACTCTTCATTGTCCTATTGCCATTTATATGGAAAGGCAGACAAGATAGTACTTCTGAAGGAAGAACAACAGCTTCAAGTGCGTCTCATAAATATTTACTGATACCCACGTTCTGAGTTCCAACAATGCTGTAGATCTCAACTCTAAAAATCACACTTCCAGTACGTACGTATCCAGTCCGACAGTCCGATATGTATGATATTCACTCAGCATCAAGACGATAGACCGAAAACAGAAACGTAAACTCCCCTCTCAGATGGAACGAATCCCTTTTCGGACTGTGGCCATTACCTTAAACCCATCTTGTTTATTGATTTTTTTTGCTTTGAACTGCCTGCGCACCATAATCGAGCCTAGCTTAACCTTTTCATCCCCCATCCCATCCCAAAGCCAGCCAGACAGACAGACAGACCTCAGCTACGTAAATTAACATCATCGATTCCCCCCCTACCACAGCCACGATACATATACAAGACCTTTCAAATCATACCACGACGGACAGCCTTTCACAAAACTAACAAACAAACCAACAAACCAACCAACAAACTAGGGTAAGTAGTGTACTCAAAATAGAACACACACACACACAGACAAGTTCGCCGCCATCCGATTCTTCTTTCTCTTTCTCTTTCTCTTTCACTCATACTTCACTTTACTTTAACTTTCTAAAATACAGCATCATCAAAGCCCATTCATTTCCCTTTCCCTTTCCCTTCACCTGTTCACACCACCGGCCCTGTACGAGCGATAAAAGCTCTGAGCGGCATCCGACTCGTTGACGCCATGGTGGGCACCCATGCCGCTGGTAGCCTTTTGGGCAGCGGCCACCTTGGCTTGGAGGTCGGCGGCGTTTTGGTCGATCCACTGGAGCTGGTGGAGATGACCGTTGAGGACACGGACGATTTGGCTGAACTGTTGTTTTTGTTTATCATGTGCGTTAGTGACTGTACCACATAAGGGAAAAAATGGAGAAAAAGGAGAAAAAAAGGAGGAGAAAAAAAGGGAGAGAAAAAAAAACATACCGGATCATCAGGCTTGCTCCCCTTGCTCAACGTGCCGGTCATATCATTAATCTCCTTGATCATCTTGGCCAAATCCTTGCCCATCTCATCCAGCCTATCCGTCAGCTTCTCGGCAAGCTTATACGTCCTCTCGCGCTCCTGATCGGGGCCCAAGCCGTCGCCAACACCGCCAGCAGCCTTTGACTCGCCGCCGGATCCAAGCTGCTGCTTCTTGAACAGCTCCTCCAGCTGTGCCTCGTACTGGTCCAGCCACGCGGTCAACTCGTCCTGCTGCGACTCGACGCCCGAGAGCTGGCGCTCGATCTCGTTGCTGGCCTTCTCGGCCTCGTATGTGCTGGTGTACAGCTTCTGGATCTTCTCGCCGTTCTCGACCAGGAGGCGGTCCCATTCGGCCACCTTGGCGGCTTGCGACTTGAATTCCTTCTGGTACTTGGAGAGATCGGTGGCCCAGCGAGTGATGATTTCATCCATGGTCTTGTTCTTCAACCGCGGGAGAGTAGAAGTGGGGCCGGTGGTCGTGGAGGCGAGGTTGCCGGTGGTGCTGGTGGTGCCGGCGGCCGTAGTGGTGTTGTTGGTGGTGGTTTTGGAGGTGGTGGTATCCGCAGGCTTGGCTCCTCCTCCAAAGAGACTGCTGGTGGTTCCAGCAGTGGCGGTGGTGCTCCCACCGGCAGTGGTGGTGGCCGCTGTGGTAGTGGCGGGCTTGGTGGTGGCCGCACCGAAGAGGCCGCTAGTAGTAGTCGAAGACAAAGTAGCAGGCGCTGTAGTTGTGGTCGTCGAAGGCGTAGTCGATCCGAACAAGCCTCCTGAGGCTGGGGCAGTAGAGGTAGTGGTAGCATCCTTGTTAGCGCCGAACAGGCTGCCGGAAGCAGCAGTGGTGGTAGAGGTGGCAGGAGCTGAGGTAGCAGGAGTTGCGCCGAACAGACCACCCGCAGCTGGCTTTGCCGCTTCGGCCGGCTTGCTTGTGTTGGCACCAAAGAGACCGGAAGTTGCTGGTGCTGTGGTGGTTGTGGTTGACGTCGTAGCCGGGGTTGTCGAGGCTCCGCCAAACAGGCTGCCACCGCTGGTCGCAGGCTTCGCGCCAAAGAGAGTAGATCCGGAAGTGGCTGTCGTCGCGGGAGTTGTGCTGGACGCAGTCTCGGCTGGCTTGGCGCCAAAGAGACCAGAAGTGGTGCCAGAGGTAGTGGTCTCGGCTGGCTTCGCTCCGAAGAGAGATGGTGTTGTTCCCGAGGTGGGGGCAGGGGTTGTGGTCGGGGTACTCGAGGCTCCTCCTCCTCCAAAGAGGTTGCCAGAGGCAGGCTGGGTAGCACCAAAGAGAGAGGGCGCGGCCTTGGAAGCGTCAGCAGCAGGTGGTGCACCGGCTGGGGTAGTCGATCCTAGTCCAAACGAGGTCTTGGCCGGCGTCGTCTGAGAGTTGGCGCCAGCTCCGAAGAGACCACCGGTAGCCGGAGTAGTAGAAGCATTGTTTCCAAACAGACCTCCCGAAGGAGCTCCTGTTGCGGGTGTGGTGCTGGCCCCGCCACCAAACAGGTTCGAGCCACCAGCGGCGGGGGTTGTCGATGTGTTGGCAGTGGTGTTTCCAAACAAGCCTGCGCCAGGCGTCGTGCTGCCTCCTCCGGCAGTGTTGGAAGCAGAGCCGAAAAGCGAAGGTGTAGTCGAGGTGGTATTGGCTCCGAATAGTCCTCCAGGTTTCGAGGCATCTGTAGGCTTAGCGCCAAACAAGCCACCGGCCGGCTGTGTCGAGCTCGCTGCTGGGGTGCCGAAGGAGGAGGCTCCGAAGAGACCACCGGATGTAGCAGTTGTTGCTGGTTGGCCCGAAGCCGCGCTGGAGCTTGGTGTACCGAAGAATGACATGATTGCGATTATGTGAGGCTGACGATATTATGTCGAGGTTTCGGGGTTGGTTGGTTGGTTGGTTGGTTAAGGCGTTGATGGTAGGGTAGTCGTCGACCAAAATCTAGAGAGTCAACAACAGCGTCCCACTTCCCAAGGCTGTTGCGGTTACCTCAACAACAACAGGGAGCGCGCGGAAACCCAAGCAACGATTCGTTGAAATACGATGAGGAAGATCGGCGCGATCTCGGTTTTAAGTAATTGATGCAATGGTCCAGCCGTGGTATCGGATCGCGAGTTTGGGCGTGGATTGGAGAAAGCAAAGAAAGTGTGGCAGCGTCACTCTGTCTCTCTGTTAGTTTGTCAAGGTTCCGTCCTTTCCCCTTCTGGGGACCCGGACGCGCAACGAACAAGGCCAAGCATTTCCCGCTTGTTGGAGCACCACCGTGACTGCAGCGAGTCAGCCCCAGGTGAAGTGGTCAGCCTCACCTCCCCCCGTCTAACATTTTACACTACTAGCAAGTGCCAAGCGTGCACGGCCAATCAATGTGTGGCTTGACGGCAGTTCGACAACTGCACTGCAGTGAACTGAGAACTTTAGCGATGACGGGGCGGGCCTCATACACAGTAAAAGGGAAGTGCTGACTTTCCACTTGCCGTGATGCTCTTGCATCTGACTGGACCGTCTGGTTGCAGCACATTTTACGCAGCGAGTTACCTACCATAGTTTCCGGACACGGCGGTACCTTACCATAGTACCGTACCGTACATACCAGGGTAGCCGAGCAGGAAGCCCTGTTGTCTCGGAAAGCTTGGGGTGGTGGTTACCCCATGTTCTAGGCCATCGTGAGCCCATTCCTCTAGGCCATCCGGAAGCTGTTCCTTTCTCTCGACTCTCTCCACACACATCGTCCATCGTCTGGACATTGAGATGCCACAAGTCAGCCGCAACGTCTGTGTGCATACCTATCTCCTGCACAGTATAAGAGTCGGCTTACTCCCGTCTTGTTATAGGACACTCCAGTCCTGTCCCTCACAGCAGTAAACATACCTACTGTAGCACCCCACAGCAACTACATCACTCCTCAGTCCTCACCTTGGCCCCCCGATCCCCGATCCCGATCCTCCCATATCCATATCCATATCCATATACATATACATATACATACACCTATCTTGCTTCCTACCTACCATATACACCTCTGCGCTTCCTTCAGTACTCACCAAAGTCGGAAATCCTCTTGTTCTTTGATCGTATATACCGCCGCGACTACGCTTCGAGATCATAATGGCTTCGCGCAGGAACAGTCTGTCGCCTCCCGAGAGGCAGGGGACCATGGACCCGGGCGCTCATGAGCTACCTGGTAGGTTACAGCTGATGGGGAATTTGGGAGACCTCTGAACAAAGTCGGCACATGGATATCCAACTAACCATTCATTCTACGCGCCAACAGGCTCCGACACCGAAGATCACTACTCCGATGCCATCTCTTCTCCCAAAGCTCCCTCCTCGCCCATCCCGCGAACAAGAGTTGAGAGAGTAGACGACAAGCCGGCGTATGGAGAGGTCCCGGGGACAAAGGCGTATTCTATGAGGGAAGGGGACGCGAAGCCGGATGAATTTGCCATTATCCCAGACCCAGACACCAAGCTCTCGACCGAGGAGCATGACCAGCGCCGGCCGTCCACTCCAGGCGGGCGCCCCATTCCCATGACCGTAGTGGAGGAGACGCCAGATAGCACTGGTGCCGTCACCCACCATGAGATCGAAGCGAGGCACAGGGTTGACAGTCCTCCCGACGTGCTTGTCAAGGCGGATGGGCAAAAGATCGAGCATGAGAAGGGTGGTGACAATGGTACGGATGCGTAGCACTTCTTTCTAGCCACACACACACACGCGCGCGCACACACACGCACATTCACACGCACATGCCTGTTTTTTTTTTTTTTTTGAGCCAGCAAATTATACAAGATCTCCTTTGTATTGACTTTACGTTTTCCTGCGTAGATACACCAATACCACCTGCATTAAAGAGTCCCGCCTCGATCCATTCTAGAGACTCGTCATCTGATCTAGACCAGCCATCCTCTGACTCGCCCTCATTGGGGCCCAGTCTTCTAGAAAAGGAGGAGGCAAAAGATGATGCGCACGACAATGTCGTACGAAACAACGCCAAGACCGACGACGAACAGGCCGATGAAGATGAATCCAAGAAGGAGGAGGAGAATGTAGAGGTCAAGACTGAGCAGGCTGAAGATGGGGAGGTGGACGACGAGAAACACGAGGAGGAGCAGTCAAAAGACCACGATACCGAAGAAGGATTGAAAAGAGACGAGTTCGAGGATGCCAGCGAAGAGCTTGAAAACCAAAACACAAACAAGGAAGAAGCAGAGGACCACTTCGACGAGGCAGAACCCAGTCAAGAGAACGAGAAGAAGGTCGAGCCAGAAGAGGACAAGAAGGACGATGCCAGCTTTGACCACAAAGAGGAGAAGCCTGTTGAAAACGATGGGGTCAACGACGACGACGGATTTGCTGAAGCAGGGGATAAAGCACCCGACGATGACGGGTTTGGTGATGACGACTTTGGGGACGACTTTGCTGAGCCAGCCCAGGCCGGCGGTGATGACTTTGGGGATGACTTTGACGACTTTGAGGAGGGAGCCGAGGCCAACAACGATGCTGACTTTGGCGACTTTGACGATGCCGGCTTTGACGACGATGACTTCCAAGAAGCCGAAGGGTTCTCAGCTCCAGCACCTGCTCCTGAGCCGCAACCACAACAACCGCAGTCCTCGTTATCCTTCGTAAGTCCCCAACCCAGTTACTCCCTCTACACCCAACACACACTAACCTGTTCCCTAGCAAATACCCGACTTCACCCACCTTTCCGCCTCTGAGATCCTCTCCCTCACTTCCCCTTACCTCAACGCTCTCTTCCCCCCCTCCCCCGACACCGACGGCGACGACTCCTCCTCCTCCCCCATCCCCACCCTCAACGTCTCCAACGGCATCACCGACCCCATTTTCCAACACCCCCGCTCCGCCTCCCTCTGGTCACAGCTCGTCGCCCCTCCCCCACTCCAACCCCCCGACTGGATCCGTTCCCGCATCCGTCGCCTCTTCCTTGTCTCCCTCGGCGTCCCCGTCGACCTAGACGAGATCCTCCCCGCTTCCAAGCAAAAGAAACTCGTCTTGCCTTCGTTAGGCGACCCCGACGCAGCAGACGACGATCGCACAGGTCGTTCGCGACGCGCTAGCTCTGCCGCCGCCTTCCGTAGTCAAAACCAAAATCTTAATACTACTACCACTTCGAATTCAAGCCGAACCCCCTCCAAACAACCACCCGTTAACAAAACCGTCGCCGCCGCCGCAAACACAGAAGGAAGCGCCAACCGCTCTTCCCGTTCCGCTAGGAAGGGACCACCGCCCGAACCGGTATTCGACCTAGTGGCTGCCAAGCAGTTGTGCGAGACGACAGATGAGGCGCTTTCGGGGATGACGGACAAGGAACTAAAAGAGCATGTTCAAAAATTGGAGGCGATGCAAGGGGTGGCGTCCGAGGTGTTGGTGTATTGGCAGCAGAGGACGGATGAGAAGATTGGTGATCGGGAGGCGTTTGAGGGGGTGATTGAGAATCTGGTGAAGCATGCTAGGAAGGTTAGGAAGTAAGTAGGTACGTAAGTACATAAATTGGGGGGAGAAAGGGGGAAGAAAGTGGTTGGGTATATAAATGGTGTGGTTGGTGGGAATTATGGAGGGAAAAAGGGGAGGGGAAGAGGATGATGATTATATTCTTCTATTCGATGTACAGGGGGTGATTACTTAGATAGACTGAGACTTGTTATTATATCAGGTGTTGTAATTAGATAAGGAGAAGGTTTCTGGGGAGGTTAAATTTCAAAAGGGGGGAGGGGGGATGTGGTTGGTGTGATAGACTATTAGGTCTAGAGGAGAGTAAAATGAATAGATACTTACGTACGGATACAAGTTCCTAATCTTCAACGGAAGGTCATACTTAATTATCTCTCTAGTCGTCATAATTCCAGTTATCACCTGAATGTAGTAATGGTAAGATGGTCATTACGTCAAAAACTCATGACGAAACCAAACTGTTTATCATCTCTACTTCACTCTTCCAAGTTTACCTACTCTTATCATCACCACTACCTGAATTACCCAATTCAAGTATATATATTCTCGATATACCATGAAGTCCTAGACCATATCATAACCTTATACCTTGGATCATACGCTCACCCACCCACCCACCCACCGAGACAGAGAAAAAAAAGAAAAAAGGAAAGAAAGAGAAACCTGCCAATCCACCCACCCATCCTCATTCACAACGATTTCGTTTTCGTCATGCAACAAGAACAACCGAATTCCATCCCGCTAAACTGGGGTATCAACATCACATATACACTCTCACACTCTCACACTCTCACACTAAACCCATGCCATCCATCTAGCACTCAAGTATCACTCACTCACTCACCACCCTCCTCAACAACAGCATTCGCATCCTTCTTTATGTACAGCTCCGTCAACTCGTCGCTCTTCTCAATCACCAACCCTTTTTCGTTGGCAAGATGCAACAAGCAAATGAAGCAGTAACTGGTGGAAATGTCGTCCATGGCCGTTTTCGGGTAGACTTTTTGCAGCGAGTTCATGACTTCTGTGAACTTGAGCGTTGGTTTTTCCTGTTCGCCGTCTTTTGTGGGCTCTACTGAGCCCGGTTGCGCGGATGGGGTTGTTAGTGGTGGAGAGAGGAGGGAGTCTTCGGGGTTTGGTGGTGTCTGTTGTTCGTGTCGTTAGTAACTGATAGGAATAAAATGAGGATAACAAAAATAGAAAGGAAGAAAAGAAAAAGAGGGAGGGAAAAAGGAAAGAAAAGAAAAACGTACGCCATCCAATATCTCCATCCCCATCCCCCGCCAAAGTTCCTCCTTCAGCCTCCTGACATCCACCTTCTTGGCCCGTCTCGCATACTGCACATACTCGGGCCTGACTCTTCGTGATTGCGTAACCAGCATCGTGCCAAACGCCAAATCGGCCGGGTTCGTAACCGTCAGCCCGTTAAACGCGCCCGTCATGCCCACGTCCATCGTCAGTCCTGCTGTGCCTTCTTTGCCGACAGCGCCATCCCCTTGCGTGCCACCGGGGCCAGGAGAAAAGTGATCCCGTGCGTCAGCAAAGACTTCCTCGTCCATGTCTTCGTCATCATCGTCGTCTCCGCCGTTGGCAAACGGCAGACCGTCGTCCTGGAAGAAGTTGGCGTCGTAGTCACCTTGCGGGAGATGGTCGTCTTGCGATGATGGGCCCTGGTTAAGCGGCGCTTTCTGTTGGGCCCAAAAGGCCTCGTCCATGGCGCCCTCGGGGACTTGGTCTGGGTTTTGGTTGTCGGCATTGGAACGACCAAAGGCGCGCTGCTTGCGGCCGAGACGGGCCTTGGGCTTGAGGAAGAGGTTGAGCAGCTGCTTGGAGCTGAAGTGCTTGTCGTCCGGCAGCAGGTTGCGCGACTTGGACTTCCAGTCCTTCTTGGGCAGCGAAATGGCCGAGTTGGTGGTGGCTTGGGTGTGCAGGACGTCGTGAAGGGTGCGATCCACGGGGGTGAAGAAGTCGATCTCGAAAGCCTGTTTCTCCTTGCGCTGGCGTTGTGGTTCCCCCGTCTGGGGCTTGTTGACATCTTTGATCTTGCGAATGCGCCAGTGCTCGGCGCTGGTCCAGTTCTTTTGCAGGGCTTGGTCGAAGTAGCTGAGGATGTCCTCGTGCAGCCGGTCGGTCTTTTGGGCGTTGGTCATGTTGACCATGCCGAAATCGCCCTTGTCTTGGTCGATCATTTCGAGGTCGCCGTCTACTCCATCACCATCGTCACCACCTTCGCCCTCTCCTATGTCTAGACCGGCGTCAAAGACCCGCATCATTTGTGGCTCGATGGCGGCTTCGCGGGCCCAGGCTTCTCCACCCTCACCGAAGGCTACGTCGACGTCTCCTCCCAGGTCGAATGCGCCCAGCGCATCATCGTCATCGAAACCGAGCGGGTTCTCGTCATCAATAATGAAGCCGGATTTGTTGCCGAGGCCAGGGGTTTTGGCTCTATCTTGCTCCTGGCGCCAGTCCTCGGGCGCTCTGAGGAAGGGAATATCGAGGGATCCGGAGGGGTCTCCAAGGATAAAAGTCTTGAGCGACGGGCACACATCCATCTCGTCTAGTCGTCCGAGATCTGGGAAAAACCTAGCACCAAGACTGGCAATGTCGATCTCCACATCGTCCTCCTCCTCTTCTTCTTGTTGTTGGGTTCGAGTCTGGGTCTTTTCGGTTTGGCCGTCGATTTCCATCGCATCGATATCCATGGCGTCCGGGTCGGCATCTTGGTCGTTTTCCTCGGCGGCTTTCTGGTTGCGTGAGTCGAGAGTGTCGATGGCGTCGTCGCTGCTGTCAAAGACAATACGACCCTGCGAATCGATCATCAGGTGGTTCAAGAGGAGACCCTTAGCGCCTCCTTCGTCGAAGTCTGCTGATGCCTTTTTGAAGAGCGGATCTACCGAGAATTCGAGTTCGAACTTTTTGAGCTGTAGGGAAGCGAAGGAGGGTGCCAGTGTGGCTTCGGAGGATCGTTGGGTCTGTAATAGTCAGTATCATCCAACCCGCCCGTAACAGTGAGCCGAGCAACCAACCTTCTTTCTACGCTTCTTTAGTACGTTGCCATTCTCGTCCACCTCGTCCTCCTCCTCATCGTCATCGCCGCCGTCCTCACCCTCACCCCTATCCCTCTTCTTGCTGTCGCGGCTATCGGCCAAACCACTGAGCAGCTTTCCGGTTTCCGTCGCAACACTGTCGACTCTGCTGGTATAGATCTTGACACACCCATCCAGCGTACAACTGGCCTTTTGGAAATTGACACCGTCTCCCTCCTTGAGTAGCGACATATCATGGAAGTAGTCGATCAGCGCAAAGTTCCACGAGTTGGCGGCATTGATCTTGTTGTCGGTGGCCATCTTCATCCACTCCTCAAAGTTGGCCAGGATGGGGACGCGCTTCATGGGGGTGACGACGGCGCCGCCCACAACCGGTCTGTCATCGTCGTCGAGGATGGAGAAGTTCTCCTTGCCCGAGATGCGGCGACGTGGGGTGCGCGGTCCGTTGGAGGTCGGAGTGCCATTTTCGTCGGTTACGCTGCGGGCGGGGGTTGCGATTGCGGTCGCGGCGAGCTTGAGCTGGTTGATCTGGGCCTCGTGGAGGGCTTTGCGTCCTCGCGATCGTTGTTCCTTTTCTTGGGCGTCGTCGTTTAGTGGGATTCTAGTCGGGACGGGAATCTTTGGTCAGTTACAAGGGAGAAGAATAAAAGAGGGACGCGACAAGATATTCAGTTCGCAATTCGCAATTCAAAGAAAAGACGTACTTGAGGCCGGGGGATTTGAGCGGGGATGGCACAGCAGGGCCCTTGCTCATGCTCCGTCGCGGACCTGTGCTGAGGCGAGGCATCTTGGCGGTGTTGATGAAGCTATCGCAAGATGTGAAGCTCCAGGCGGCCGCTGTCTAGTCTGGAGTTTCAGTGGTGTTTGTTTACTTTGACCCGCCCGTAACCACGATGGGAGTGCCAATGCTGGATGGATTGGATAGCGCGGACACTAGACGGATCCACGTCTCAGCGGGCGGGCTGGTGACGGGTGGCGGCACGTGCTGGGGCCTGAAGGTACCTTAACAGCGGGGTGAAGTTGAAGGGAGGAAGTCTGGGGTGCTTGGCATTGAATGACTAAGCTACCTCTACGGTTACGCTCAGGTACAGCGGTATGTATGTATGTACATTACACCCGTACACGTACAGGGAGTTGAAACTCCGATTAAAAGTTCCCGAGTCCGAAGTTGTCACGTAAGGTACCTATGCAGAGAAAGGAGACGTATATTCTACCTCTACCTTGTGTACAAGTGGCAGGGCATATGGGTTACCTCCCCCGTCTTGACCTCTTTTGTGATGTGATCAAGACTCATCTCTATCTCGCCACAGATTCACAGCCTCTTGAGTTCAGATGGAAGTTCAGTTCCTGTTGGTCACCCACATCGATTGGAGCTCGCGTATGTATGCACTGTAGAAGTAAGTAGGCATCTGTATTCCTACTCTACAGTAAAAGACTCCAACCGAAACAGCGTCTCCATGTCCAACCGGGTTGCGCATGGGGCTGCAGACGTTAGAACGTAGCATTACCTTTCCATGAATTTCCTTTCTTTTTTATTTTTTGTTCTTTTTTGTTTTTTTTGTTTTTCTTTTCGGTTGCTGCAGGGAACTTGTTGAGATCAGGAACACGGTAACACAGCGATATGTCTCCTGCCCAACCAGGAAGGTCACCTCTTTTTAATATTCCCCGCCTTCCTTCTTTGCCCTTTGCCTTTACCTACCTACTCTAGATCACATACATAGCTTCCATCTTCTTGGTCAACTTTCTCCCAATCACCTATTTCCTATAGTATCTACACTAATAGATACCTACCTTGCGCCCATCATCTACCCATCTCCAATGCAATGAATCAATCGTCTTGTCTCAGAGAAGCGGCGCATGGATACCTCGACGCACCAGTCCTAATCCGACCTCTCTGGCCACCCGAAATCACCTTGGCAACTTTGCGACGATGATCTCATTCCGCCTACATAACACAGCAATCCCGCCCACGCGAGCCACGCCATCGTCCCGTCAATCGTATACATACTAGACATACTTGTAGCCTTATCTGTTTTTTTCTTCTTTTCTATTTCCACTGCTGGTCAATTTCTCTCTTTTTTTTTACGGCCATCGTTTACATACGTACCTTGCGATTACAGTTGCGATTGCGACCCAACGATAACTGCCGTTCGATTGCCCCGCCGGTCCATCCATCCATCCATCATCCATCACCTTGGCGACACTTGGGTCAACACACCAGCACATACAGCCAGTATTCCCCACGCGATGCCATGACCAAAGGTCCAGCATGTCGCTACATCGCCAGAAACGGAGCCCCTTCAGCTCCCGACCCTTTATCGTGTCGACTCTCCTCATAACCTGTCTAGCAACCTATGCGCTCGTCCTCAGACCCTTCGCGACATCACGGTTGTTGCGCCAACCCGAACATTATCAACAACAACCACATAAAATTGCGCGAATCCTCGCAAGAGGTCACCACAAGCACGAACCGACTGCCCCCGTCGATTGCCGCGATGTTCACTTGGCCGACGACCAATGCGCCTTCATATTGGCCAACTGCGAAGACGAGGATGCCGGCCTAATACACTATCTGAGCTTCTACTACTGCACGCTACCCAATGCGAAACCCGTCGCCTTCGCCGTCCTGACCGCATGGCTGGGCCTCCTATTTACCACGATCGGCATCGCCGCCAGTGACTTCTTCAGCATCAACCTCAGCACCATCTCGAGCGTCCTGGGTCTAAGCGAGAACCTTGCCGGCGTCACATTCCTCGCCTTGGGCAATGGCTCCCCGGATGTCTTTAGCACCTTTGCCGCCATGAGTTCCAACAGTGGGAGCATGGCGGTGGGCGAGCTGATCGGTGCTGCTGGCTTTATCACTGCCGTGGTAGCCGGGTCCATGGCCTTGGTTCGCGAATTCAAGGTCCAGAAACGAACCTTCGTCCGAGATATCGTTTACTTCATTGTTTCCATCAGCTTTACCATGATGTTCCTGTTGGATCAGGAATTGCACCTGTGGGAGGCCAACGCCATGGTTGGCTGCTATATCTTCTATGTCATCTTGGTGTTTGCGTGGCAGTGGTTCACGGACAGGAGGAGAAAGAGGAAACAACGGGAAGCTGCTGCTCGTGCTCATTTTTATGGCTCTACACCCGAGCCATCAGGAGAGCTGGAGCCATACCGGGATCAACCAGAGGATGATGAAGCAGCTTCGGGAAATCATCGGCCTCGTACTGCTCAGACCGACATCAGCGCTCTAGAACATGGTCCTAGAATAGAAGTGGAAGGACACGGAATCGCATCTACACCAAGCGAGGAAGAAGAGGATGAACACCGCGATCTGCAAGTGGCTGCAGAGATGACCAGCAGCATGCGCGTCAACCGTCCCCGCTGGGGCCGAAGCAACTCCACCATCACTCCCATCAGACCTAGTCTTGTCGGTGCTTTGGAATTCCGGTCGATATTGTCGTCAATACAGAAGGAAAGAAACCAGCATAGCGGCTACGTCCGTGGACATCGACGGGGCAATTCCGATTACTTCTCAAATCAACCATCACTACCTTTGATTCGCGAGGATCAGCTATACCGGGGGCGTCAATACACCCTCGACACACTGCCGACCCTCTCGACTATCAGATCCGGCAGAGACCGCGCCTTGTCATCCGGACATTCACCCCTTAACCTGGACAGTCTCGGTTTACCAGCTTTTCGAAGCGGTTCAGAAACGGGGCACACAAGCCCGGCACTAACACCAGGGCCTCGTCCAAACGAGAGTCCCAATCTGCGTCCAGATACTAGAGGTAGCTCGACCACCCGAACCGTAGACGGCAGGCTTGCGCCTCCTCTTGATACCGGAGGTGTCAACCAAGGGTTGCTTCAGCATCAATGGAGAAAAACAACACCCAGGACAATGGGTCTACACCTCCAAATTCCGGATAGTACCGCCTCCAGCAACCGGGCATCGCCTACTCTTTCGCCTTTCCCCATGTTCTCCGAGTCTCCCACAGCGCTCACACCCCAACAGCTACCCGAATCAGCCTTTGTCTTCCCTACACCATCCGAGAGAAGACGTTCCTCCATCGCCATATTTGGCGGCTATGAAGAAGAAGAGGAGCCTCTCAAGTACTGGCCCTACTCCATTCTTCCGCCGCCACACATCTTCTTCGGTACACTTTTCCCAACCCTCCAAGGCTGGTCTGAAAAGTCCTGGTGGGACAAATTCGTCAGCTTGATTTCGGCCCCCTCCGTCTTTGTCCTCGCCATCACTCTCCCTGTAGTGGAAACCGAGTCCGAGCGCGACGATGACGACGAAGTGAGTGGTCCCGCTGAATCCTCCGCAATCAACCTAATCCACAGCCATGGACAACCAGGGCACATGGCCGTCCCCGTATCTTTGGAGTCAAGCGCCCACATCCGCCCTGAAACCGAGTGGCAGGAATTCCGTCGTCGCACACGTTCCGCTTCTAATCGGTCTCCCATGCGCTCACCCTTGGCACGCTCACCCCTCCACTCCCCATTGACAGCCTCGCCATCCTACGTAACGCTTGCATCCCCACGGACGAGGTTGACCTCGGAAGCCAGAGCGCACACCAACGGCTATACCAATCTCGGCGCCCAAGTCCAGCAGGCTATGAAACTCAATCCGCACCAGCGCTATGGCCACAGTCGTCACGGATCCCACCCGACTATCGTTGAGGAAGACGAGCTCGGCGCTGCCGCCGGACCTACGACTCTGGCCGACAACCACAACCACAACCCCAATCCCAACCCCAACTCCGACAACGACAACTACAATGACAACGATAGCCTGACCGAGAACGGAACCGAAAACGACGAAAAAGCCGCCCAAGAAGGCTGGAGCCGCTGGCTCATCTCCCTCCAGCTCTTCACAGGTCCTCTCTTCGTCGTGCTTATATACTGGGCCAACACCATCGACGAGCTCCCCTCGCCCGGCCGCACTTTACTCAAAATGACCCTCTACAGCTTAATCTTCTCCCTAACCTGCCTTGGCATTTTACTTTTAACCACACGCGCCGACAAGAAACCCAAATACCACTTTTTGCTCTGTTTTCTGGGATTCGTGATTAGTATCGCCTGGATCTCGACCATAGCCAACGAAGTGGTGGGCATCCTGAAAGCCTTTGGCGTAATCTTGGGCATCAGCGAGGCCATTCTGGGATTGACGATTTTTGCGGTCGGGAATTCGTTGGGGGATTTGGTGGCTGATGTCACTGTTGCTAGGCTGGGGTGGCCGGTTATGGCTTTGTGAGTATTCCCCGTCCACTTCCCCTTTCTCTCTCCTCTCCTCTTTGTGTGACGCTGCGCTAGCCTTTTCATTTCTTACCTCGCTACGCTCGCTTTCCCTCCTCCAAAATATCGCTCCTGTACTACCTACCCTCTTACAAAACAGTTACTAACACCCCTAACAGAGCAGCCTGCTTCGGCGGCCCCATGCTCAACATCCTCCTCGGCATCGGCCTAGGAGGCGCCTGGATGATTGTGTCGTCGGCCAACAAGCGCCACGCCAAGCACCCCGAGTTGCCCTTCAGATACAAGCCTTATAAGCTGCAAGTGGGCGGGACGCTGATGATTTCGGCCATTACCGTGTTGGTCACGCTGGTCTCGTTGTTGATCTTGGTGCCGAGTAATGGGTGGGTGATGAATAAACGCATTGGATGGACTCTGATTGGGATATGGACTTTGGGAACGGTCTTCAACCTGGTGGTGGAGACGACGGGGGTTTGGACTGATGTTAGGTAGTACATTGATGAGAGGGGGGTTAAAGAGGGGAGGGGTAGAAAAGGGAAGATGGGAGGAAGAAGGAAGGAAGGAAAGGAAGGAAGGAAGGAAGGAAGTAGCGATGATATTGATTTTTATTTTGATGATTCATGACTTGGTTGTGGCTACGTATTGGGCGACAACATCTTGTGCATGTGTTCTTCTTTATATACGATGCCCATCCCAATGGGTTTCAGGCCCATCGGTGGTTTGTTTGTCTTCTTGCTACCGCATATTGCGTTCGTTAGCTTCAAACTGGGAGTAGGTCAACACGGACTGACTATATATGTTCGACGGCGAAGTATTGCACCAGCTTCGACAAGACAAGGTGATACAAAGAAATGGAGAAAGAAGGGTCCCACAACGAACAGATACATCAAACTTTAATTTATACCCTCGTCATGTAGTGTCAGGTACGAAACATTACTACAAACATGAGTGAAACTTCTTCCTGTTCCGATCACAGAGCTATTTGCTGTTGCTGGATTTCCCCCTGGAACGGAGTTTTCAGTTGAGATCAAAACAAGCAAACAGCTTGCCATTCCCGAGTCACTTGACAATGCCCCTGGTGTCACACCTCGACCCAAAACAACGTAAGGGCTCATGTACACCAACGGATACATATCCCGGTAACCTGCCCATGGGTTTTGTCCCCTCGATTTATCTTCTTTTTTTTTTCTTTTTTTTTTTCAACCAGGAGATTCCTCTTCGCATCAGACATCTATCTATCTTGTCTTTACGAGCCTCGCCCTTACTCCATAGACCTATCAGCGCTCACTGACCACTGATCACCGACCACCGACCACTGACAACCAAGACAAAATCGAGAATAACAGAGCATCTGAAGACCAAGTAGAAACACGAATCTAAACTGGGACAAGGAAAGAAAAAAAGAAAAAGAAAACGAAACGAGAAAACGGAAAAAATGTGCCATGAACTACGAACCCGCTACGCCCTCTGCTCGCACACCGCAACCGTCCTCACCCGCTGCGGACTCCCTCCTTGTCAAGCATGGCCTGGAGTATATGAGCGAGTCGAGGGGGTATCTTGCCAGGCGGTTTGGTGTCGGTTTAATCCTCCTCCTCCTCCTCCTCCTCGCTCAGCATCATCTCGTTTGGAGTCATCAGTGAGCGCAACTAGTACGGTCAGGGAGTCAACTACCTTTAGGGATAGAAGTGAAGGTATCGCTGAATGGAGAGAAAGTAATAGAGGCACTGCTCCTGAGCAGCAGACACGACGTGCGGTGAGGTTTGAATTTGGAGGGGATGGAGGGGGTGATGGTGGAGGTGGTGATGGTAGAGGAAGAGGAGGTAACGCGCTGATGGAAGATCCTGAAAGAGGAGGAAGAGGAGGAGGAGGACCTAGAAGACCCGGGATGCCTGGGGGTGATGATGGTGATAGTTCGAGTTCGAGTGATGAAGAAAACCACAATTATAATGGGGATGTAGGCAACGAATCACATGCCTGATGATAGAGAGAGGCACACTATGCGCAGCGGGAAGGTCAGTATAGAGATGAGAAAGAATAGGTACTTACAAACACCGCAAAGTCATTGCATGAGGCTGAATTATCAGTGAAGGAGAGACAGACTTGGGAGGGGGAGGGAGGGGATGTGCGTAGGGGGAGAGTGTAGGCAGAGAAATCAGTTGCATCTTCATTATCCCGAAGCTTTAACACCGATGAAGAACTGACCTTTTCACCAGTAGTAGTTGGACTTGGAAAATCCGGACCATTCAAGTCCCCCGACTCAGTGAGTGGGCTCCAAAAACTCCCGTACACCGTCTGTCTGCCTCTTCCGTGAACCGAGTGGTATGTATGGTGGTGTGCAGGAGCCAGAAAAACATTGCTCAGTACCTACGCGGTACTGGTGGTACAGTTTTCGTAAGCCGTAGGACAACCACCCGGGTACAATTCCGGGGCTTAGTTAGTCATTGCGGGCTGAGCTGTTTGTCATTTTTTTCTTTAATGTTAGGACATAGGTAGGTAGGTAGGTAGGTAGTCAAAAGAAACAGCGAGTCAAGGAGATGGATGAACAAAGCGAGAAAGGTTATCTATCTATTGTCCCCTCGGGATAGAACGAAATGAATGCCCATGCTGGCTGGCACTTATGAATTTCGATACCGACATGGAAAAATTCACCATGCTAGGTAGGGGCAGACATAGAATTGATTGAGGCTACTGTTCTGAATTGCTCCTTCCCAACTTTTCCCAGACAATCCCTTCTTCATAATACACTCGCCACTCGCAACTTCCGTCACTTACTCACTTACTTACTTCTCTCCCCGTTTTGCTGTCCTTACCTTTCTTTTTTCCTTTCTTTTTCCTTCCTTTCTTTCTTTTCTTCCTTTTACTTTTTTTTTTCTTTTTTTCTTTTTTTTCCTACATCATCCTTCCATCCCATAATCCCTCTTACCACTCTTAGACACACACACACACAATCGATGCATCAACACTGCGACAAATGCACCGAAGACCGTTGCAGTGGTCCATTGTAACCCAGGACTGGAATGTAAAAACATGGAAAGAATCGAATGCATATTGGATAATTTCGAGCTACCTACCTACCTACCTAGGTAGTTAGTTAGGAAAGTGATGGAAAAAGTCCCCACATCGATTGGTGGCTTAAGAGGAAGTTCTGCTTGGTTTTGGATCTGGAACTGAACTGGAACCTTCCCCAGCCGGACGGGTTTGGATATGGATTACCGGGCGGTACAAAAACCTACACTACACTGAGGTAGTCCTCCCCCAAGGAGCATATTCCTTCCTTCTTCAACGGGCACTTCGTTCCCGTCTTCTGTCAGCCCCGGCCAAGTTAGGTAGCCATGGATACCTTAGGTACCTAGGTAAGTAGTACAGTCTTGAGTAGGTGGTTTGGCAAATGATATCGACCCATCCTTGACTGACTGCGCTGTGAATAGGACCAAGTTAAACTAGACTGGCCGATAATTATGAAGCAATATTTCCAATCGAATTTCTTTCGCGGAAAATAGGTAGTCAACTTGAATAAAAGCAAGTGACAGTGAATTCATAATGTCCAACCAACCACTCAAGATTGATCACGCACCAAAATCCAAGATAAGGTATATCCATCCTCCCACATGCTTATACACTATATTAATAATGTTAATGTGAGACATAGACTAAAAGAATAAACACTAAAGTAACAAGCACCCCAAGGAAGCGAATACAGAGCCATTAACCCAGCACCCGTAGATGAGAAGTAGGTCATGGATGATAGGTCGAACCAAGCAATGTAGCAATGTTAAAGCTAGGTAGATAAGTCTGTGGTCTGTAATGTAGTGTAATGTCTCCATCCTACCCCTAAAGCCCCTTTTTACTTGGGTCAATAGATCAACACCGTTTGACCAGTATTCTCTTGCCGCGTATGGACCTGTCAAACTCATGTAACTACCCTGCTGCCAGCAAATCTTCCTCCCCTCTGTCCCCAGAGCTTTCATCTCCTCCAGCCCAGCAAAAGGGCAACTTCACCAGGGCAGCAACGGAACGAAGCACCTCCCCTTCACATACACGTCCACACCCTTGTATTCGGAGACTTTTTTTTTTGCCTTTTACTTCTCATCCTTGCCCATGCTCTGATCTTGTTGACCCTTGCCGTTGGCGTTGCCTTGGCTGTCTTGGCCCTGACCCTCGACAACCTCCTCCTCCTCCTCCTCCTCCATGGAAGCCAACAGTTGATCAAGGGTGTTCTCCAGTCTGGTCAGACTAGCTTCGAGAGTCGTGGCTGTTTGTTCGCCTCTGTATTCGCCAGAAATGAATTTGTTCAAAAATCAGTAAGTGTTCACACAAATCATCAAGTCAGACAGTTCGGTTTCGAACAGAACGGCCAACTCCGTAAAAGCGCGTATGCTCGTATATGAACCACTCATAATCAAGTCTTGGTAGATAGACCCAATGACTTGTCCGGCCGCCTGCGGCTATGACTTGAACAGGGATACATGACAATAGTATGAAGTATAGTGTAGGGTAGTGTGATGACAATAGTGTTAAATGCATGGACGAGGAAGGCAGCAGGCAGAGATAGATTGATGCCGACATAGGGGTTCCCTTGTAAAAATCGATCATATTACATCACTCGAACTCGACTGCAGCTCATGACATTGGCGTGTTCCAACTATCAAAAGCGTCTATCGGTCGCCGGAGCAAATGTGATCACGATGCTTGACAGTTGGAGGAGGCAAAATAAAAATAAAAAAGACGGGAGAAAAAAAAAACATGCTCATGTGTGGAGTTGGGATGTTTATTTTTGTCCGTGTCCATGTCCCATCGTCCACCTCGAGGCTGTATCCCCTGACCAGCTGAGCAGCTCAACCTAAAAGCTTGCCGGTTTTTTTAATTTTTTTATTATTTTTATTCTCTCCTTTCGGCTCCCGAACAGGACCGGAGAGATGCCAAATAGAGAGAGCGGATGGTGTTTGAGGTGATGATGGTGGCAAAACCTTTGGCCATGAAAGGCCAGCACATATCCAAGCCTAATAACTTGCTCTCTAGCCCGTGCGTCCCGTGTCCAATAGTGCCCCGAGCCCAAGAAGATTCCGGACCGGATGGACGTCCGAAGACCATCGGGGGGATATCATAGGATAGTGATAGACCGGAGGGAGTACCGACGGGGCACGGGGGAACATGGATTGAAACGAAACAATGCTGCACAGTGCCAACACCACGAGCCCCGAAACAGCCATGAGCTGAAGCCGACATACACTACACGTGTAGTAACGGCGGGATGTGAGACAAGGATTGCTGCTAGATTTGCAGTTGTTGGGAACGACCGATGAGATTGCACTCTGGGGTATGGACCGGGGAATTGGATGGGAAAGAGGACAATGGGGTGTGGTGAGGGTGGTCATGTGTCTGCGTAGCAAGTACATGGACGGAGAATGAGGTGGTAGTGGCGATACGGTACCGTGCGGATGGGCACTTCCAGGACTGACCGGACCGGAATGGGGCCGGGGAAAAGACGACACACTATCGGCATCGGCGCCTTGCGAGTTCGAGGCTCGGATGGACTCTCAAGATTGATGTTCTCGCGATGAAATGAAACTTTTTCACTTTCGCATGGTGCCGACCGGAGGCTCCGTACTTGGTACCAGTTACCTCGGAAAAAGGAGACTTTTCGGGGTCCAGTGCTGGGTACAAAGTTCTAGGCCTTCATGTCTAGATGCGCTTGCATGAACCTGTGTGATGTGGCTGTGACGGGTGGGGAGTGCTTCTCCGTTGCAACTCGGGCAATGAATCTCTGGTAAAATCTGCTTAAACGCCGTGCTTCATGTGGGCTTGAACGCCAATGGAGACACTTGCGCCCGCTATTGATCTGCTAGATGGCCTGTCCGAAGCGCGACACGTTCGAGGCTCTGGGTCCGGTCCCTGGAACCTCATGCAGCTGAATCGGACCCTTCCTCCGTAGCCTCACCATGAGCGGCGTTCCCTTGGAGAAGCAAATGCGAAAAAAAAAAAAAAAAGAAAAAAAGCATGGAGAGGAGATGATGTGCAATGAGACACAACATCTCACATTTGATTCTGGGTCTGGGGAGCATGAGACCCTGAATTTTCCCTGGGGATTGGTCCCTATACGCATCGCCATGTCTGCAGACCCAGCGGGGATTCTGGCATTTGCGAGCCGGACAGCAACAGGGCGAGAAAACGATGAGGGTTCCGAGACACTGTCACACATCCAAACCCAAATGAAGGGACAAACAGATGTGAGATGAGATGGCCGCTTGGCTGTTCGGGATGCCGGCATGGCCATGGCCCATGGGGATCTTGCTATGTGTAGTGTAGAAATGGTAAAAATGGATGAGACACGAGAAGCGAAAATGCCATGTCATACCTAGCCAGGTCTTTGAGGGCCTAGAACGTCAAGCCCAACACCGAGCAAGTGGTCAGCAAGAAAGATCATGCAGGACGTCAAGATGAGGCTGTAATAGAAATAGAGGAACGGGAGATCAAGACAGTGCCGAAACGGACAGACATAGGGCTGGATCCCGAAGGTCCATCATCTAAAGTTCTCTGTTTTGTTTACACTACTGTGTTGTCGGCATGTTGTTGTGGTCTTGTCTCTACAATGTAAAGGAGATGGTATGGCGGGGTATGGATATGGATATGGAGATGGAGATGGGGGGGCAAAGATGGAAACCCTCACCTGAGCAAAGTGATCTCCAAGCGCGGCAGATACCATGACTGGAGACGTTGCTTGGCCGTCGCTCTCTTCGGTATCCTGTCCGGCGGACATGTTGCTGGACTCTTCTCGTGTCATGTCGTTGATGGAGTTGCTACAGCAGCGCAAGTACTAAGGTAGTGTAGGTCGTCGGGTGTTTGGTTGATGACGGCGGAGACGACGCAGTGCCGGCATTGCTCGACAACCCGACAGCGGCTTGCAGTGAGTGTGGGTTTGCTGTGTCTGGCATGCGTTTTATTACCGTAATTACATATGTGTAACTTACAGGATGCCGGGCGGCAGTGCGTGGAAGGAACGGCCGGTGATTAACAACCGACAGCCGGACTAGTTGGTTTTGGTAAAAAGCGCTGATTGGGCACGTCGGTATTCAGAGAGGAAAATCCACTCTTGTCGAATCTGATAAAGATGCAGAAATTCAGGTGAATCCACGGGAAATCTGCTGAAGCCCACAAAAACCCACCCGCTTGCGTTCGACTTTGGGGATTTTACGATGAGTGATCCCGGGGCAACTTGTAGACGGTACACTACTTGGGACGTCTTGGACTTTAATATGCTGGTCCCTCTTTCAGCTCTTGGCAGTTCATGACACGCCTTCCAGCAGACGGCAGTCAAGCCAAGTGAGAGGAAGATTGGGACAATATCAGTAGAGATCTGTAGTTGTACATAGCTACCTAACGCGTTGAAGTTGTCATACAAGCTCCGTAAATTATATCTCTCCCGTCGCTTGTTTCTAATGCTCAATGTCTACTCGGACAGCGGGCTGGGATGTATGTTCACAGCAGAGCACCCTAGCCGGCGGAATGGACGGTTGGAGACGGTCAAGTGTCGTCTGCCTGCTGTCTCTAAAGCCACTGTTCCGTAGCTGAAGGTAGTAGGGTACAACTTTGTGGTTCGGATGATGCTTGTCTCGTGCGGTATAGTGTACCTAGTCATCAGGGACATTGTGTGGGACATCGATACGGGGCCATTCACTCCCCTTCCCCGGCGGCTGATTATATGGACGTCGTACGATATGTGCATGCCATGAGGCTACGGGGTACTACGGGGATAATCGCCGAACGAGAGCGAAGAAGCGAATAAACTGTTTGTCCAAAGACAATACGAAAGGGGACCAATCCGCTAGTGGTAAAACACTTTTCCATGTCGCGTCTGTTGCTTGTCTAGCTTTCCGATTTGTAGATTCCGACATTGAGAACGCGTATGTCGGATAGACAGCTGCGATGATTGTCATTAGTCTCGGCTCGCTGAAGCCGAACACGACAAGGCTTCTTCTGGAAGGAAAAGGAGAGGAGCTTCTCGGGTCGGCGTGGGCGATCGGGTGGGCCGGGGTAAGAATTTGGGGTGAGGTTGGCAAGCTGGCGACCTCACCTCGGGCCAAAACGGCGAATTGAGAGGATATCAAAGAAGTGGCATGGACGTGGCATCGACAAGCTGGTGCGGTGCTGGGTCTTCCTGGCTTTGCTTGATTATAACCCGGATAATGACGCGCAATCTGTCCCCAATTCCAGCAACGAGTGGTGAACAAGTGGTGGTTCATGTAACTGCTATAGTACTAGTGTGTCGTGGGTTGTCGAGTCCCACCCTATCGACCTTCAAGCTTGTCCCACAAATCATGGAAATTGGATGCAAGATTGAGAATAAGCCACACGCGCTCGGTCCGCCTGCCCCACAGGCCACAGACTGCCACTTTACCAGATTGGCTTGGTCTGCCGCAGGCGCAGTAGGTACCGCCAGATCCTGGACTTGACTCGGAGGCATCCACGTTCTAGACTTTCCTGTGATCATCCAACTGAAGAACTTCCACTTGGGCCGATGACAGGAACCACCGCCATCACATCACCACCTCCCTGTGACTGCACCATTAACCCCTATTGTATCAACGGTTACAGACCGACCTGCTACCAGCAGCACCGACAGACCACAGGATGGGGGCCTGGGGCCCTTATATGGATGGAGATAACGGTACCGCTGTACAGCTGATCCACCGCGTCCGGATTGCTTTTACATAGCGGCAGCAAAACCGTTGAAGCTTGGAGAACCGTATTCGGTACATCCGGAGAGGGAGATGGATGGATGCCCCAAGTGAATCGCCCATGATGGCTCGGTGCAATTCGGAATGGTCTTGGAACAAAACGCAAGTTTGAAACTGAAAGACGGGTTTGCTTACCTCTACCGTCGTGTACACTACAGGGACCGGGCGAGGATCGGTAAAACATCGCTAAAATAATGGGGACGTGTTCCTAGTGTATATTGGCCCGGCGCCAGCTCCGGCGCGGCGGGGGAGGGCGACGTGCCCACCGACCCGCTGGGTCCCGCTGGGTCGACGACGGGTTTCCAGCTGAGTACACCATGGGCTAATTGCCCTGAATGAAGCTTCCCTGTTTCATTCAGCCCTCAAAAAAAAAACTGGCCGAGACAAGGTCCACGGTTGCTTGATAAACCGATTGCTATAATTATGTTTGATCCATCACCGAAAGAAAAATGGCATCCGGAGCTCCGAAAAACGTCTGTATACTACACTACACTACGACATGCCATCAGATGAATTGCATGATGAATGATTCTCGATACCTACCCTAGTCACAGCTAGGTAGTGTGAAAGGTCTGTTTGGTAGCAAGCGTACTTGTAATGTTTACGATTAACCCTGGCTCGTCTGTTAGAGGGGTACTTGCAGAGGACTGGAGTGTTTTACTGATAGTAATGTCCCATCGATGATAATGCAAGAAAACACCTCTTTTGCAAACATATAAAAACTGGCCCATTAGATGCAATCGATTTCTGCGGCCTGGATGCCCAGTTTTACATGTAATTGAGGCACCCCCTTAATGGCACAGCCGCCCCTAAAATGCTAAGAATTCGAGTCGTCCCCCATAGTGCCGCAATTAGTTGCATTAACAGTGAGGGGACATTATTCAAGATAGCTAGGCGGGACTGTAGGCATGGATAGCATCCACTTGGCTTTTGCCCGCTGTGAATAGAGTCAAGTTTTGGTGCATGTGTGCGAGACATGATCTTTTCCTTGTTGTTCTTGACCCTTGCTTTGTTGGGGGTTGTTTGGACCAATGCGATCGCCGGAATCCCTTGTCTTTCGCCTTGTCCGATGAGGTCGCAAGTCTGGAGCTAACAAACAGACCAAACTAAGTGAGTGTGCATCTCAAAAACCAGAATCACACCGACGAAATGAGAGAGCAATCAAAAAAGGAAGAGAGACTCGCATCGTCTCTATACCTACTCAATTGGGCATCGGCAGGCCCATGGGCAGGCGGAACTTGTGGCAGCCGAGCAGACGAAGAGATAGTCGGATGGAAAACCATGACAAGATGCCAAACCTCGTGGGCTTCGAACATGACTGTGACCATTAACGACCTGTTGACGGTTAAAATGGTGGGGTGGTGTTCGATTCGAGTGCTCGATTGCCAGGCAGAACATCGATTCCTGAATCCGGCGATGCACCTGGCGATCGATGACCAGTGTGTGGTGTTGGGCCATTCACACGGCACAGCATGTCCTAAGGTGACTGCAAAGCCTTCTTGACAGGGGAAACCAACGAGATGGCAACGCCAGTGGTGCAGTGCAGCATGCTTGGTGTGCAGGATGACGTCCAGCGGGTGACAAGGAAGCGTATGAGACATTCAACTTACGGAACAATTCCGACTCCCCGCTTCCTGTCTCACTCGTCGGACAAGGCCAGAAACGGTTTTTGAATTCGCAACAAGACACCAGAATACCCCGATGACCGGTATAGTGTAGAATGCCGACCAGGGTAGTGTACACTACACTACTATGATACGCCTCTGCCTGGGAAGTAAAAGTTTAGCGTGGTACGTCCATCTCACAGTATTTAGGGGTTGGGAAGTGAGGTGAGGAAAACGTCCATGTTTTGTAGGTATGCAGAATAAAGTAATCGCCACCTTGCCATTCAGCGCACTAACCTCTTTACATCCCGGCAGAGGTTTGCAGACACGGTCGGATAAGACAATCTGGTGCCCCCCCTTACGTACCTCTACCGGTACCTGCTGGCTGACTGGCTCGCGTGCTGCACAGGGCAGAAGTAGGGCATCGATCGATTGTGAATGAATTAAGTGAGAAGTTGAGACTTTTATTAGAAACAGGCATATGTGCCATGTCTGACGACATGCATTGTAACTGCAGACTTGACAAATGTGTGGACGTGAAAAGAGAAAGGGGAGAAGAAAAAGAGATGGCGAACTTTTTGACACGGCCAAAGCCCGTATTGCCTGTCCATGCCATGCGGCTTAACACAGTGAGGTTGTTGCAAGGTGACAATCCAATGTCAGTTGCAACCAGGACAGCCGGGAACCGCATTGGCAGAATGCTAAATTCGGCTTCTCCAAGCGAACACAACTATCTTGCACTTCTAACAGTCCAGTCCCGGTCACGGGGAATTCCCGCGATGCCGCTTCGCCCGTGCAGGCTGCGGAATTTCAGGCCACTTTGGGGAAAAGAGGTGGATAGGTGCGCCTTGATTGGCTGGCCGGCCCGTCAAAACCATCATAATCGTACGACCGTTTTCCATGTGTACTGCGGTACCTATGCTGTTCGATAACGATCGAGATCCTTTCTGCCATTCTTTGCCCTCTTGGGTTTTCCACTCTCGTGCCACTCCCCCCCATCACAAGCTTCTGACTTGGACTTGTTGGGCTTTGCGCATCTTGGATCCTCTTATGGAATGTTTCATTCCAAGCTTTGGAACGGGGAGTGATGGCATTCGCGCCCTGGAAGGACTCAATCTCATAGGTGAACGGTGAAAAGCCGGAGGTTTTTTTTTTTTATGGGACTCGGCTTGAGCGTCAGGGCAGTCCTCTGACCAACAGGGACCTTCTTGGCTCTTCAAGCTCCGACAGGGATACTGAACTCGGTGGCTCCCGTACATACTACTTCGATGGCCCTCGATGAAAGCTTCTTTCTGCCCTGACACCCACAAGTCACCGCCCATCGATCGCCCTGGCTGTCCACTGCAGCCTACCTACAGTTTGAGCTGAGGTCGCTACCACAGTCCAAACACGTTTGTAGCACCGTCAAACCCGTTACCTAACATCGATATCGCACTATGTTCGGGTGAAATCCGGGCGGGCGTGTGTCCGACTCCCCTCCATCTGCTGTTCCAAATACTTAGCCCCATGGCGGCTGAGCCAGTCACAGGACGTGGTGTACGGGAATCTCGGCATTTCCATGGCTTGTAAAAGGCCGATGTTGGACAATTGCCCATCCAGAGACCAGGCCCAGATGGAAGAATCGTGATCGGAATTCCAAGCTTCAGGATCACGATGTCTCTCTCCTTTACCAGGGGCAGTTACCATCACTTTGACGCCCCTCGTACCAGCTACTGTACTCACATCTCTCCCAGTTCGGCAGCGACATGCTTAATGACGAAACCACGGATGGTGATCGAGATATCCGACGGTTACATATGTCGACGGATCATCCTAGAACAAAGCTACACACAACACTATTAACTACACTAGAGAGACTAGCAACATGGAATCATCATGAAATTCCACATCTAAAAGTGCATCCTAGCCGATGAAGTCAAATTGAAAACCAACCGGGGCAGCAAATACGGACTTGTTTGCAGTTTATGGTCGAATACACGCGCACCTGAGAATTGGACATCTGTGGAACGATGTCCGTCTCCGGTCTGACTTACGCTACATTGCTGACCTTCAGACACGCCTCTCACCGTCATTTCTTTGTGTGGTTTGATGTTGAATATCTTGACTCCGAGTGACGTATCTGATACGGCTACAGCCTCGTGATATTGGTTGTCCAGAGACGCCCTTGACGCCGTCACTGCAGTGATAACAACTGGCAGCTGGAACTCCCCGACTCGAATCCGGTCACGACCCGCATGCCGAGGCGCAGGTGCATGTTAGCAAGCTGAACTGCAAGCACTAAAAAATGAGCCCCATCAGGGGGTTGGTGAGGGGAGGTTAGACGGTTGTGGGGGAGGTTGCAGTCTTTTGGAGAGTTTCGGCTCCGTTACAGGCGCGCGCGCACTGACATCCAATAGTGCGTATGCACCTACCAAGCAATTCCCTTTGCAGCTACATATCCTGACGTCCAACGGGTACATACTCGGTACCTACCTACCTACAACACTCTGTGCCAGGTTCAGGCAACGGGGCTGAGAAGCATCCCGACGGCTGCCCTGGATCGACATTTGCAAATTCGATAATAATCTCGAGATGCAATTTTCTCGCATACGACTGACTGCACTGAAGCAATAGCACCTCCAAATAGGTGGAAATCACGACAGACTGACAGAAAGAACCCGCCGGGTCCTCCCCCCTCCCTCTTCCCTCCCCCCTCTTCTTCTCCTTCGCAACTCGAAAAGGGAAAGGATCCAGACCCGCCATGCCGAGTTGAGCAACCGGGAGCGAGGAAAGCGGAGCCGCCACGAGTTCCAAAAGAGTCGTCGATTCTTCTGGAGAGTTTAGTGCCTGTCTCACGGTTGACCCAAGTACCGTGTACACTACATTTTTCACCTGTCTCTTGCTCCGAATGCCATCCCGGGTAGGCAAGCAAAGTCTTCAATTTCTCTCACTGTTCATTACGATATGTATTTTGTCGGTGCTATAGTAGTGTACGCGAGGCAACGACAGGTACCTCTACATATTCCGAGTGCCCAGGAGTCGATTTGGAGTTGCCCGGCTGGAGCTCCATTTTCGGCTTGGTGCCCACGATGAGACCAGGAAGAGGTCCTCTTGTAATTGTACACTACTGTAGACGACTCGGCCACCGTCCAGGGGCAACCCAGAGCCCACATGTTTGTACCGGGTACCACGTACCATGTCGACGAACGGGCTCTTTCCAGTTCACTTCTTACAAAATCCCACTCTTTCCCTTTTTCCCCTGCCTGCCTGGCCGCCCACCTTGCCCTGCTCCTGCCGCACCACCGCTCCGCCCTGGCATCTGCATCTACCTGGCGTCAAGCTGGAGAGTCTCGAACACTCTGTTCATGCACTCCGACCCTCTCGGTACTTGACTTTGCCCATTTGTCCCTTCCTTGTCGACCTTGTCTCTGCAACTTGGACTTGCCAATTAAGATTCCCGTCAATCAATATCCGTCTTTTTCTTCATTTCGAGGTTTGCTCCTCCTTCCCCATCTTGAACCTCCGACGTACCTCGTCAGCAGTCACACTCAACCACTTTAACTTGCAGCACATCACTTTGCTGCTACCACCTCGCATCGAGATATCAACCAACATCGAAACCACTTCTTGGGAAATCCGGATCACCATCCACGGTTTCGGTCACGGTTACCCAGAAGAGAGACGGAGATCAAAGACATCTCACAACGTCAACTGAACTCAAGAACACAAGGTAGGATAGGATGCTGCCACGGCTCCCCTCTCCCCCTTCCCCTTTTGCTTTTCCAACCTAAACACCACTCCCCCCTCCCCCTCGCTTCTTCACTCCTGCGGGTTTCACGGAGTCACTGAAGAAACAAACAAATACATGTCCAATTGCGCGTTCGGAGTTGGTGGAAATGCACCACGGCATCATCAGCATGTTCTACATACCACTCTGTCCTGCTCCTGCTCTTTTCCCCTGTGCGTCTACATATCGCAGACGCTTCCGAATGTAACCGCCCTGTACGGCGGCAACCTTTTCCCCTTGACTTGATCCATATTCACCCCAACATGCGCACGGTCTGCTCTTACCGTGACGACAGTCTAGCCAGGAACCCACACACACACACATACACACACATACACTTTGACAGTGGATAGGAACTGCAATGTCTTCGGATACAGTACAGACAAACTCGCCTAGGCTATCAAAAAGCCTTGGTGGCTGAATGTATGGTACATGTATCTCGTGATACCCATTTCCCGTCCACTTGGCATGGGATGTGCACACAGTGTCAAGCAGCAGATCTCTTGCCTCTTTGAAAATTCCCAATGATCTCCAATGTAGTGCATGGGGGCGAGGTTCCGCCGTTGGCTGCTCAGGGGTTTGTTCTGGTTACCCGAACGGAAGACGGGACCCAGGCGGCTCTGGGGAAAAAGAAGTCGGAGGCACTTCATCTCAAACTCCCCAAGAGCACTTCACCATCCTTTGATGTGCATTGAGGGTGGCATCGCGCCGCCCGAACTTTGCACGCCTGGGAAAAAGTCTGGCTTGAGAGAGAAGAGTCTAGGAGCTTGCGCGGTTGTGGTCGAGGCTGGCGTGCTGCTCTCACTCACAAAATTCCGAGGGAGCTTGACAAAGTTCAAAGTTGACTTGATTGTCCACTCGCCGTTTACACTGATTTGCCGCTGACGTGGATCCATGCTGATAGATCTCTCTTTAGACAGCTGGAAGCTCCATCTTCTTGAAAAGCCCCTCCCAAGCGAAATCCCCCTTGTCAGCACTTGTGGGCCAAATTTCTGTCTTTAAAGTCCTGAGCTTCACCGTCCACTCACTCCTCCACCGGCGACGCAAGAAGCCTTGAAAAGAGCTGGAATAATCTCAGTTCCACCCTTAGCTCATCGCCTGTGGCTGCCCCGCTAGGTACCTAGGCCACTGGTACAAGTATGTACCTCCCAATACCCTCTCGCCCGGTAGCTGTATCAGAGCCGAACCCATGCCCGTGCCGATGTCGTACCACGCGAAGACTTCCTTACCTGTCTTCTGTGCTGGGGTTGTCATCGAGATCTCTGCCCTCACCCCACCAGCCCAATGGGTCATGGCTCCATGAACTCCCGTCATCATCTGGATCGCGTCTGGACTTTACCATTGACCGAGACTCTTGTTACAGATATACCTACCATTTTCAGCACCTTGCTTGCAGTCTCTCAGCGCACTTTGTCTTTCTTCATGATCAGAGAACTGTGACACTCTGCCCAATATCCCAAGTCGAATTACCTCCAACCATCCAAGGAAGCCATCATCACCACCATTAATTAATCTCCTTCTCCCTCCCGGAAGCTTCATCAATAGCCCGATCTGCTTCTATCCTTCACGGCCTTGGTTACGGTTTCTTTTCTTCGCTTTGATTCAAAAGCTCACGCCATACCCACCACAGCAATTTATCCACACGAACTCGGCACGGCGGCAGAAACCAGATCTCTTGTCGCTCGGCCACCTGACGACGACTTTATATCCGATCTTTTAAATTCATCCATGCACCTGGAGAATAGTTGGTTTTGTGGCAATCAGGCATCCATACCATCAACCGCTTTTGGAAAAAGCTCCCGTTGAGCTTCGGTGCAGGGATCTTCTAGGAACTTCGACTTGTCGGTGCACCATGCAGCACAAATCACACCAATTGGACTCAATGGCGCAACAATTAACAGTCATCTTTGGGGAGTTGGGGATCAGTCAGTATCTCGATGCGTTCGTTGAGCAGGGTTTCGACACATGGGAGACTATTCTCGATATCACGGAATCTGACCTGTAAGCATCTTGTTTTGGACTTCCACGGGCAGGATGTTGGATGTTTGACTAACACAGCTGGTCCATCAGCGATGTCCTAGGCGTGAAATTAGGTCATAGACGGGTAAGCAATCATCTTACTGCCACGTACTACAAGATCTGTGGTACAATATGTCACAACTGCTAACACGGACCAACAGAAACTCCAGAGGAGGATAGCAAATTACCGAGGGCTTGCGCCAGAAGCTTCATTGGCTCCCTTGGCACAGCCCAGCATAGAAGATTTCAGGCCAACAGAGGTTGTACCTCGTGCTGAGCCACCAAAGATGGAGCTACGAGAACCTGGGACTGTTATGGTTACCAAGAGGAAGTATCGTAGACACCCAAAGGCAGACGAAAATGCGCCGGAAAGGCCTCCATCAGCCTATGTGCTTTTTTCCAACAGTAAGTCACCCATTGGAAAGCGCCTGTCCCGCGTCAGGAAGGCAACTAACCCGTTTACCCCCTTTCAAGAGATGCGCGAGGACCTCAAGGGCCGTAATCTCTCATTCACCGAGATTGCCAAGTTAGTTGGCGAGAACTGGCAGAATTTGACGCCGGCTGAGAAGGAGCCTTACGAATCCAAAGCGCAGGCTTACAAGGAAAAGTATCACGCCGAACTTGCCGAGTATAAGAAAACGCCCCAATACCAAAAGTACATGCAGTACTTGGCAGACTTTAAGGCGAAGCATTCTCTACCATCTCAAGGTACGTATGATACGACCTTGCTATTCGACTGTGTCAGCCAGAGTCTAAACATGCCACAGACAACGATTCGTCGAAGCGAGTGAAGCTCTCGGAATCTGGTGGTCCCAGTAGCGCTGCTGCCACGCCCACCAGGGCATGTCGGAGTCACAGTGGCGGCAGTGACAGTATTCACGGAAGCGAACCACCGCCATCCAGGGAACAGAGGATAAGCTCTATTGTTTCCACCACGGATTCTCATCAATCGGCGGCACTGAGCCCAGGGTCGTACCATGACGACTGCATGCAATCGCCACGTACGATCCACGCGGATCGACGGTCTTCGGAACAACGATCACCCACGGCTTTCAACACCGATGCCAGGAATTACCCATTACCCAGTCGAACAGAGACTACCCGACCGGATGAACATCGTCAGGAACAACCGCTAAGCACACCTCAGTCTCAACAAAATCTACCATCCTTCTCCGATGTTTTTGATAGCCACAGATTTCTGCCCAGCGGGTCACAACAGACAAGCGATACAAGCAGCTATTTCCCAAGAGGAAGTCTCACCAATAGCCCTGGTCCCCCACCTGGCCTGGTTGGTGGTGATCGGAGATATCCGCCTACGTTGAAGAAGGAGCAGTCCTCGGCGGGTAGCATATCCTCGGCCTCCACGGCCTCGTCCTTTGGCTATCCAAGGACCCCTACTGACGGTCCATTGCCGATACAGGCTTTGCTCTCATCCAGCTCCGCCCACTCTTATGAGGCAGGCCAACCGCACCATTCGTACCCGACGGGTCCCTTGCCTGTGCATCAAAAGCAGCCGCAACATCAGCAGCAGCCGCCGCAGCAGACATCCATGTCTGCTGGACAGCCGCCGGTGCTTGCTAACCTGGCCATGACAAATGGTATGCCTTGGAGAAAGTCACCTTCAGTATCTAGAGAAGCCGCTGACGAAGCCCTCGTAGGCTACCATAGGGCTCTATCGCTCGCACACGTGCCTCCTGCTGTAGCGAATACTGCTACTCCCACTTCCCATTCCGTTAGTGCTGTGTATGGAATCCCGTCACGACTACCACCCCAGCAGATGGGCTCTGGTCTAGCACAGCAACATCAACAATATGACAGGAAACCAGAGGGAGGGAACCCCAATCTCGATGGAATGAGTGCCTTGTTGAAGGCTGGCGAGATTGTTGATCGGCGGACGCATTGAAAGGGTTACGTAAGGGGGAAAACAAGGGTCAGGGAACAGGGGACAATTGGATTGGGGAAGGGAAAGGGAAGCATCTGGAAGCCGGGTTGGTTAAAGCGGCTAGACAAAAAAAAAGACAACAACAGCATATAATACGCCGTCAAGGCTGACTAGCTGACGGACGGCCGTCAGTTATTTGAATATCATGATATGGGCCATTGGTCCGGGGCTCGGAGTTTTCAGCATGCATACTCTGCAATTTTAGCATCATTAGTACTAGTATTACTGGATATAAAAAACTGGTTGTACTAGTATACTACCGAATGCGATGTACTTGCTGCACTATGATATACACTGTACGCCCTTCGTCAACTAACATGCAAGTACTTAGGATTCATCTGAAGTCTTTACCTGATTGGACGATGTATTCGCAATCTTCATTACTATGGTGAGATGGGTAAGTTAAACCCGTGGATCAGGTCGTTGGACACACAGTGCCCACGAAGCTTTGGCTATGGTGGTCTGTGCAAGATACCTGACAGGGAGGTAAAACTTTGGCTCGCAACCGCAGTACATACACAATTTCTTCGTTTACTATTTGTAATAAACTGTATGGCATGGTTACGTCGAGATCACGTAAATACGTGTTGGTCGAGTGTAACAAAACGAACCATTTCCGAGACACCGCGAGTGTGAAAGAATGGATAGATACCTCCCTCGCTCGCCTTTTCAGTGTTGAATCAACCGCCTTCCGCCCTCCATTTTCGAACTTTATAGTGGAAATGAACTACTGCAGTGGGTGATCCTGTCTCCAAATAGTATGTAAAAGAGTACTAAGTCAATAAACACGTAAATTCTGAGCTCAGGCTTCTCGAGACCATCATCGTAAGTGATGATCATGTTTTTTGTCAAATTCATTCTCGCACGCATAAAAATGAGAGTCTAGATACGTTTCCTCACTAAAGTAAAGTTCCCTCATGATTATATCACAGCAGTCTTCATGGAAACAACAGCTTAATCATCACTGCAGGGGCAGGCAGGAAGGAAGGAAGGAAGGACCAGCCAAGATCTTACTTCTCTTCCTTTTTCTTCGTTGCCTTTCGGAAGCAGAACCGAGTGGTGAGTAATCAGTCTAAAAAAAAAAAAAAAAAAAAAAAAAAAAATTTGAAATGAAAAAAAAAGAAAGGAAAAGAAAGCGACCAGTTCCAGAGAGAAGAAGTGACTGAATGGACCGGCAGACGGACGGACAGATGGATGCATGGATGGATGAATGCATGAATGGTAGTGTGAGGTATGTGATTTGAGCCGCTGCCTGGGGCGCCTAACGAGAAAAAAAAAAACAAGAAAAAAAAAAAAAAAAAGCCGAACTGAGACATTCTAGAAACTTGGTTGGATTATCATTACCCAAAGAGGCAAAGAAGTACGCAAGAGAAAAGCGAGAAAAGAGCGAAAGAAAAGCGAGAAGAGAGCGAAGAGGGCGAAGAAAAAAGAAAGAACGACAGAGAGAAAGGAAGGAAGGAAGGAACCCTCAAAGAGTAAAGAGTAGGTAGGGACGAGCTCTTATCATCATTAAGCAAGAATCACGAGCAGCAGAGGGGGAAGAAGAAGAAGAAGAAGAAGAAGAAGAAGAAGCTGAGGGGACTCTCAAACAAATAGCATTCGTCGCAAAGGAGCGGCGGAGAGGGAAGAACTGCGCAAGAGCTGGGTTCACTTACCTCTCTCTACCTCCACCTTATATATATTTATATAGTATATGTGTTGATTTCTGGTTAGTGCGTAAGATGTCAGGCACATGTCAAACTTATCGCTTTGCACGAACGTTTGATGATGTTCATTCACATTGATTCATTAATGTTCTAGCAGAGTTCAGGTTTCAGTCTAAGTCCGGCCAGCTCGTGTTGAACTTAGGTTTGTACTTGAGTCCAACTTGGCATGGTCCCTCTTGCCTGTCTCATGAATGCCTTGGGCAGTGATGATGCCCAGGAGGTGTTTCTAACTCACGTGTTCTTCGCTCTAATGTAGTGGTTATTTGGAAAGGATGCCGTTACTCACTAATTCTAGTTTCTTCTGATCCTAATGTTTTAGTGTCTCGGGAATTGTGGATATGTCACCGATATCCTTAATAAAAAGAAGGGAATGAAGCTTGTCCCATTGCCATAATACCTATTTAAACAAAAAAAGACGCATACAGCGAGCTCCTCATATCCCCCAAAGCAGAGAAGACCTACAAAACTATCCATCCCCCTTGGACACACGGAACTATAGCAAAAGTCTGACGAACAATGTATGTATTTAATCATTCATTCACGACAACTATACATTGTCAATACTACCTACGCAGGTGAAGCCCGCGATAACTGCTCGTACACAACCCCGTATGCCTTGGGAATGTTCCGAGGTCGTCTGGCTAGAAACCTAGATGTCAGTGGATTAGCTTACGACTGACTGTGGTAGACCCAACCGCTGCTGCCGCCGCCCGCGTGTGCTTAGGCCTACTTACTGGACTTCATGGACTTGGATGATCAATCTGATTGGCAACATGGGGAGGTTTAGAACGAGTATCTGCCTAAGGAATTACTCAAGGCGGAGACTCGTGATATAGGAAAGAAGTGGTGGTGAAGAGGATGACTGTTACGAAAACTGTCCACAGCCGACGAACTTGGGTCTAAATATAGAGAATGACAACGAGGACATATATGGTACGACGTGGATGGAAGTATGGATAGAAAAGGGGATGGGAATCCGTAATAGTGATGAAGACAGTGGTGATGACATGAGAAAGGAGGGAGAACGTGATTTTAAAAAAAATTAAGTGTGATAATGGAACAAAGTGGTGGAGGCATTCACGACAACAATAGAAGATATGGTAGTAAAGGGAGTGGATCAAAGAATAAAGCAAGGTTAAGAGTCAGACCTGGTAAGCTATTATTGAGGTACCTACCTCGAACGGTTATCAGACAAGGGAGAAAACATGCGGTTAACGAAGCTTTAAAATGGTTAGGGTTGTACGTCTAACTATGTCTGTGCCAACAGGCCTTTGTTGGTGACCCCTTTTCCCGGAAGACCAAGTAAACAAACCTTGGCCAAATGAAAGGTTCCGCGTACACACTTCTGATGGACCGGGAAAAGCCGAGAACAGACTGATCGATTTATAGCAATTTTGTGTCTTTCAAAAGGTCCAAAGACGTCAAGTCACTACCAGCCAGCCGCTGCTCATCCACCAACTCGCCAACGGCGTTCTCTTCAGTCTTGTAGAAAATTCGGAGATTGGTGACCCACGAAATGTCAAAGTTGATGACGAAGCGCAAACGGACAGACTAGGTAGGTAAGCAACACTCTGCCCGCGTCAGATCCGGTGGTTGTCGTCTTCGTGATGTATCGCTGTCAAGGGGGGTGGATTCGGAAGGGTGGTTAAAAGAGGAGTGTCCCGGTGCTATGGCGGTGCATTTGACGAGCCTTCATCAGCATCGTCGTCTACCCCCCCCTTTTCAAAGACATCAAGACACCAAAGTCAAGAACACAAAGAAGTGGGTTATCCTGCCTGCCCTTGATGATGTTCCTGGTGAAACTTGACGGATCAAGTACCACACCACTAACACACCTACCTACCAGTAGCACTTGCCAAACCTAACCCGGGCAACCAAGAGGTACCTACTCACCGCAGCCGCAACAAACAAAGACCAACAATGTGCGTAAAAGACTACCCCATCTACGCCTGCGGGAAAGAACTATTTCCCGGGCCCGCTCCAAACCGAGAGTACCCCTGCGGCAAAAACTGCAAGAGTTGGGAAATCGGTCGGTACCAGTCTGAGCAGTATTGCATGAGTTCGCGCTGTGATGTTTGTATTCAAAGGATACAGCCCAAGACGGCGAAGTGGACGGATCCGCGGCATTCCCGGTATTATGATTCATATGGGATTGTTCCTCCTGCGAGTGGTGGTGGTGGACAGGTTGATCCGGGGTATGGTGGTGATCCGTCGGGTTATGGAGGTTATGGAGGTTATGGTGGACAAGTTGATCCAGGATACGGAGGCGGTGGCTACGGTGGAGGAGATCCCTCGGGTTATGGTGGTTACGGAGGTGGTGATCCTTCGGGCTCGGGACACGGCGGTGGTAGCGTCCCTCCTAACCCAATGCCGCGCCCAAATCCGAATCCGTTCGCTGGCGACAACCCGCCGCCGCTGCCTTCATGGCTGAGATATGACGAGGAAAAGAAGGGAAGTAAGAAGAGTAAGGGGAAGAGTTATCGGAAGCATAGGTAAAGTTGATATGGGCAAGGAAAATAGGGAGAGAGAAAGATGAGGGAATGAAAGAAGGGAAAGGGGGAGAAAAGAGTGAGTGAGTGAAAGATACATGGGTGATGAACTGGAGGTGAAAGGAAAATGAAGGGATTCATCGAAGAGGAATATGGCAGATGATGGGAAGGGAATGTGTAAGAAGAAGGAAACAGAATGAGAAGTAGAAGGAAAGCATGGAAGATGAAGGGAATAAAGATGAATGGCTACTAGATACCCAAATATCAGAATATGCCGTCAGCAGAGTTGACGTTGCTCAACTTGGTACCAATATCAAGTCTCTGCATGCATCAACGACACAGAGTCCACATGCACATATGCATATGCATTTGCATTTGCATTTGCAGCACACGTGCTCACGTTACCACGAAAAAGAGGTAAAAACAGCGTTGCAATCATTCTGCTTATACTTGGGTAACTTCGTTGCCACACAGAACTAGACAGACGCACTTTCCACTTTCCCCTTTCTCCCTCATCTATTCAATTTCCCCATGTTTGGGATTTACAGACTCCAAGCTAAACGTCACAACTATTCACCTTCATTAGACTTAATCACCTTGTCAACAACCTACCGACGATATCTCACCACAATCGTCGGAGGCGGGCACCCTTGACTGCCGCCGCCATACGGTGGGAAAGGTGGAAAGAAGGGCTAACCCAAAAACGGGGCTGGAGGTGCTGACATAGGACGCAACACCGGGTTGCTGTATCCTTGGTAATAGCCGCTGCCAGTGTTGTGATACGGTTGAAGGAAGGGAGGCAACGGCGCCGGATTGTATCCACCATGCACCGGACAAGCCACGGACGGCCCCGACGGGGGCATCGGAGAAAAGCCGGCATATCCACCGCCGTATCCACCGCCATACCTACTATACGTAGTAGTATTACCACCACCGGCACTACTGTAACCTACACCCGAGGCTGAACTACCACCACCGCTATAGTTATTACTAGCATGAGCACTATAATTCCACTTCCAATTAGCAATTTTCACTTGGCCCTTGTCAAACATGTTCCGTATCGCTGTTGAGCAGCGAACATTACCGCAGTCTGTTGGGAGCTCGTAGTAACCGGAACCCCAGGAGTGTTCTGGGCAACTGTTTCCGCAGGACTCGGTGCGGGTGCTTTGGGCAGGGATTTGTTCGTGCCCGCAGGAGTAGACGGGCCAAAGCTTGCGGCACATTGTGTTACTATGGGTTAGTTCTTGTGGTGAATTCTGTTGGAGTTGGATTGGGTTGGATGAGGATATGATATTGCTGGCGGTGAGGGTTTCAAACGGTTACTTTCAAATATGGGAGATTGTCATGGTTGAAGATGCCTGCCTGCCTAGCTTTGGACATGATGCATCATCGACCAGAATCAGGTACGTGACATTGGAAATATCATACTTGCGAAGCGCATGTTGGTTTGTCTTTCCAATGCATCAGTCAGTGACACACCACTTTGTGGCAAATGTCCGGCTCGGATGCTCTTGTTTAAGGATTCCTAGCAAGGAAGTGGTGTTGATAGTTGAGTCGAGATCAAAACAAACAGGGAGCTAGAAGTGCCCCCCCAAGACACTCGACAACTGCATGATATTCTTCGATGATGCACGCAAACCAGAATTACATCTGTACTCTATGATATCTGTCGTTTGTGTTCGTCGGTGCTTGCCAGCGTTCTATGTTCACTTCATCTTGCAAAGCGGACAGCAGCACCCCATTGTTATGTGAACCTTTGGCACTGGTCAAATTCTCACGATATACTTCTATGTATCTACCCACGACTATTCACTTTGCAAAGCAGAGGTTATAGGTACTCTCGGCGTCATTGGCCCAGGTAGGGTATCACCGATATCGGGTTCCTTTGTACATACAATACATAGGTAAGGTAAGTATGTAGGCATGTGAGGCTATATCTATGTATATAAATAGGTAGTATGGTAGTGACCCCCAACCCCTTTACCCTGGCCTCGATCGCTCGCTCGCTCGCTCACTCGCTTATCAAGAAAAACTAACTCACCGAGAGTTCACCGTCTCACGGAATGAAACCTACCTCTACCTTCCTGATCTTACCGAGAAACACCATCTTTTTTTTTTTTTTTTTTTTTTTTTTTTTTCCCCTTCGAGACGTGTCTTCTCGACCCGACCCTGCTGGCTAGATCTGATCTCCGAGACTGCCTTTGCTTCCTTCCTTTCGTTTTCCCCCATTTTCGCACATACATGTAGTCCCCGGTTCTTTCACATGGACCCCCCTCCCCTCCCCTCTGTCCCTTGCGGTTACGGCGCCAGTGAGAAGAGAGAGAAGACATGACACGACACTCTCAACTCAACTCGGACGGACCCTATGTCTCTCGGTGGGGGTACAATGGAGGCTATGTATGTACCTCTATCCCATCCATGTACGTACATATGTACTATGTAACCTTAACTGTGGCTTGACTTGACTTGACGGGGGAATGAATGATTCCATCGTCGCAATTCGTCTTCCCTCCCCCCCTGCTTGGTACCTAAAAACCAAAAAGCGAACCGCAACCCCAACCCCCGGGTAACATGGGATGATGTTATAGCCTCACTTTTTTTTGCCTTGCACTTTTTTCTCTTTTCTTTCAAAATCCACACTTCAGCTTGAGGGGTACTGCATATGTATGTATAAGTGAAATTCGTGCGTGAGGCTCGGTTCATGTGAAGGCTTTCCTTCCCTTTCCTAGAGGTAATGACATCCGTCTTTCGCAAAGTGTCACAACGACGAATGAATGAGTGAGTGCCGCCCAGTGAGAACAGGTATGTAGGTAAGTAGGTAGGTAAGTGGTATCGTATTCAGCGGGAGGTATGTAGTGGTGTTGTTGTTATGTAGTGTCGGCGTAGTAACGGCCAAGTACGTAGAGGTATAGTCCCGGAAGCTCACAAGTCCAACAAATCCAACCGCTTATACCATGCCCTTTCATGTACCAAACCAGACGCTCTGGGCTCTCCTCGTCGTTCGGAACCATGACTTTCGTTTAAGGACTCCAGACTAATTCCCGGCGCGAAAGCTGATGCCAACCAAGCTTGCGATGTTGACTTCCACCTTCCAACTTACCATGTACGAAACTTGATCTTGACTGTCAATTTATACATTACATAGTGTGTATGACCCTACACTACCTACGTAGGTAGGTATATAGCCAATTTAGAACCAAAACACATGTATGTACTGCGTAGGTTTTTATCCGGCCCGGATTCCCGATAAGTAGGTATGCATCCGTATCATACCTACCTACCGACAGCGAGCCGTCCTTGACAACTGCAACTTCCGTTTGTTCGTATTCGAACCACGAGCAAAAAAAATAAAAAAATAAAAAAAAAAAACCTGGGGTTCCCCAGCAGCCCCCCCCTCCCTTCCCCTTCTGGGTCCCGAATGCTCCGCCAGATGGCTTGGCAGACCGAATGGGTTTCTCAATAAAAAACATGGCGAGTTGGATACCTATCCTATCCTATGCTATGCTATGCGAGAAGGGTTCAACCTTTGTTTTCGCTTCTTTTTTTTCTTCTTTCCTTTTTGCCCTGTTCTGTTTGTTTTTTTCCCTTCCATTTATACCTCCTTGTTAAGGCCTTCCCTTCACAGCCTTGACATGGCGGATTTTCTAATATCCGTCCTCCCGCCGAAAGATCATTATAACGAATTCGTTTCTTGCGCGCGCACGCTTCCTTCTTCTCTCTTTATACGCACTACACTACACTACACTACACTACACTACACTACACTACACTACATACTCCGTCTTCTAGTCTAGACTACTAGGTAGTAGCCAGTCCTTGGCGTTAATGATCTTACTTACATATCAGACCATCCACGTTACACAAGATGAGTGAGCTTGGCGCACTACACGACACGACACGACACTGTGTGAAAGAAGCATCCCAGCAACCAGTTACACTACTCTTCTTTATTGTTGCCAAGATGCCCCAAGATTGAAAGCGTTCCTTTTTCGGTCTTCGTTCATTATGTATGGGTAATGAATGTGGTAAGGAGGCCACGTGAGCATTTCCCTCATCAGTGAATGGTCTGAGATACATTACTAGCTAGCTAGGTATCCCAATAGCATCATCTTGGTTTGTTTCTGTCAACAGTTCCTACGTTTAGCGCCTACCTATTTACCAACCCCTATATCCTCTCTAACTTCTCTACATACCCGCATGCCATGCCATGCCATGCTGCCGCTACACACGACGAAACGAACTCCATCGAGCCATCGTTGGACATCCTGGCATGTATGTACGTAGTGACATACACTAAGGAAGCGGCCCTCCCTGGCTCCGGATGATGTGACCGATATCAGATCAAGATCAGCACTGGCGATAAGGAGAACAAGAAAAATAAAATAAAAGAGGGGTGACAGCCAAGACAACCGAAAAAAAGGAGAAACGTGAAAGAAAATTCGACATACGTGCCTACACACGGTACTGTACACTAGTTTGGATCGGAGACTTTGAGCCTCCCGCGGCAGGCACTCCCGGCATCCCGATTCCTGTGACACTACACTAGACACGTTTTAGCTTGCTCCGGCTCCGAGAAACCCCCTTGATCGCTTGATTCCTTGCACTGCTGAGGGTTGGCAAGGAAGAGCAAAAAAAAAAAAAAAAAAGATTGGTCGCTTGGGTGTTTAGGTCCCTTGTGGGAGCGAGTCACTGGGTGGGGTTGGATGTTTACTAAGAGGTTGCCAGATACACAATGTTTGGGTTGGCTTGGCATTGTGATAGGGGTCTCTACCACTAGCGTCCGCGAGTCCGTTGTTTCACTAACTGGTGCGGATCTGTTTCCTGTGAGTGGTGATTGCATGTGCAACGTTAAAACGGTGATAGTATAGGGCTATGTATTTCCCAGCGAGCCCACACTGCGAGCTTCAATTCGCCACTTTTCAGGGTGTCGATATGGCGGCCGCAGAGAGGAAAGAGACGGTTTTGGTTCGGTTTGCCAGACCATGTGGAATGTGGAGAGGTGAGTGAAGGGTGTGTGCTGGGACTAGAGACCAATAACGTTGCCGGTATCCGACTGAACGAGCAAAGAAAAATATGAAATCAAGGCTTGGCGCTTGATTGATCGCGGAAAATAGCTCGAGCGTTGTGTCTTCATGGACAATACCACAAGCCGTAACCCTTGAACAACCACCCACTTGGTGTGTTTGGGCACGCGAGGCAGAGGAGACAAGGGTGCATGTTAGCTTCCGGGGTCTTTGAGAAGCTCGAAAAGGGAAACTAGAGACAAAGCGAGGAACACATCCGGTTGGGCCCATCTGGGCATTCGCGTAGTGTTAGCGATCCGAGGCTGGATTTGTCCAGCCACGAGCTGCTTTTTTGTCTTCTTTCCCTTTGGCCTCGTTCGGTTCTCACATTTGCTGCCCGGCCAAATACAGGCAAGATCGGACATTCGGGAGGTAACCAACACACCAGACAGATGAGTGGATGTGGATGACAATGTCTCTTGATACAGCCATGTCGGCTTGGGTTTAAGTGAAGGCGTGTCGCTCTTGTGCCTTAATCACAAGATAAAACAGACGAACGGCCTTATCGCAATTTGTCGATCGCCCCGGCTGTCGATAAGTATGGCCTTTGGTTTTTTTTTTGTCCCCTGTGCTCCCTTTCACCCACGCGCTATTCGACTGACAAGTGGACAAAAGGGGATAAAGAGAGCAAAAGAGGTCGAGTCTGGATTCGGGGATCGACATTCGCCACCTGACCGCTTTTCAGGGTCCTGGGGATAGGACTTCTAAGGGTTCTGGAAGGCCTCAAGTGCGAATACGTACTGTGTCCCTGGTGTTTTGTTGTCTGCGAGTTGGCCTTGAGTTGCCAGCCTCCATTCGGATGTCAAGCCGTTTCGTAGCAGCTGGTAAACAGCAAGCGAAACCAATCCGCAATATTGTGCAGTCACGTGAGAGATAATCAAGCCTTCCGATACTGCACAGGTAGGGGATCCCCATCAGTGCCCGCCTATGTCAGCTCCAGATCCACGTTTTCGTCTTGGTGCTTAGCTGTTAATGGTAGACACTATTTTTGATGAGGCTAGACTTGGACGAGGCTGGGACACTGGATACCAGACGAGCAAGCACATCTTAAGTGGTGAAATAAGGTAATTTACCTTGAGCGCATACAAAATCGTTTTCTCTTGTTGTTAAAGTCATGATGCCTCTCTGGATTTCTCCGCCAGCTGATGCTTGACTCGAGA